GTCTCACACCGCTTACAACCTACAGAGTCTGGAGAAAACGGACGTAGAATGCACGAGCATGCATCCCATAAATGGCGCATGTAGGACAAGTCCTCGTCCTGGTTCATGGGAAATTTAGCTGGCTGGTCGGCGAGTAAATCAAATATCAGCGTAGGTATGGTAGGATGGGAAAAAATCCCTTGATTCATTCGATCTTTCTGCGGGATCAGGAACGACCACCAATGCACAGTAGAAAATGACGGTTGTGTATCCATACATCGATACGTACAACCATACATACATACATGCCACCGATGTAATTCTAGACGCCTTATTGGGAGGCTCATTTGTCCGAAAGACGAACTTAACTTCGTTGCATTGAACTGCGTCCTGGTCATTGGGAACACAGGAATGCTCTGTTACCTCCCCAGTACCTGCCGATTTGTTAGTCGATTTTGATAGACCCGCCGTGTCGATCATATGTACGTTTACGGAATTAAATGGTAAGGGGTTTCCTATGCATTTAATTCAATATATTATATGCAGGTTCAAGAGTCATTTCCGGGTTTATGGTCATACTACAGTGTTGCCGGGTGAATCTGTGAGGTCAGTGGTTAATGATCTGCTCGAGATTCGTGTGTTTATGCAGGGAGGATTGTCGATTATTGGACTAAACATATATTGGAGGTTGTACGAATGACTCGGTAGTATACCACGTATTCCAACCTCAGAGATACCTAGTCCTTGTCCGTAGAGCTTATGCTTGGGTAACGTCGTCTTTCATGGTCAGAGTCGTAGATTTATCTGCCATCTGATAGGCCTGGAATATTCGATAACCAGGGTCGATGAGTTCTTTGGGTCGTACGGGTGGTATTGCCGATGAGTCAGGTCCTTGTTCGTTGAAATCATGTGGAGATGACTCGGCATTTAGTTTTATAGCACTGGGCTGAGCGAAGTTCGATAAGCATTAGATCGAGTGGATACTGTGACCGAAACTTTTTTATTTTTTTTATTTTTAATTTTTTTTTAGATGACGAAGTCTTGCACTCACTACTGCACTAATAAGATATGAGACTTTCCCAAAAGTGTATGTCTACTGACGGACGTCATGCATCATCGAATGGCGCAAATACTAGTGTCTAGTATCTATGTGCCAATGGCTATGACAGCATCTCAGGTGAAAAGCTAGGAGGTTGCTGCGGTTGGATCTGATACTATTCCCTGTTTCGGCATTTCAGTTCTTCATTGGATAGGTAGGTATAATCGAGGGAAATAAAGGGCAAATAGCAATGACCAACTTTGATTCCTAGTTCACTCGATAAGCGCTTGTCTACTAGTATGGGGGCTAGATTCGCCAATCATAGAAGTGGAATACTCCTGTCGAGCTTGGTTTACTTTGATGCTACAACTTGGTCTTGTCATTAGATATCTCATAAATATATTGTACCAATAAACCTCGTACTTTGGAGAATGGATGTCGGTTAGCTACAACTTAGAACTCCTCTTATTTAGCCAATATCTGCTGATATTGATCCATTGTATTTAACGCCCAGGTGTATATCTGGAAATGCATGCATGAGCTCATGCGTCTCCATCGAGATACTAAACGTTGATCATGAGAACTAGAACAACCCAATCTTACGACGTACTTTTGGCCAGTAACAAAACATACAAGAGACAAGAAAAACCAGAAAGCCGTATTCTATATACCAAATATTTCATACCGAGTAAACCACGATAGCAGACTTTCGAAGGGCGGACACCATTAGATAAAAAGAAAATAAGAATGCTGACGAAATGCATCCGATAGAGTACTTCACCGCAGTCGTGTGATAACCGCGATCAACCAACATGAGAAGTAGCGGTATGGAATGGCACCAGCATTGATAATAATATGCCTGACTGTTTCGCCTGTCGATTGCCCTGCGCACAGCGTCGTTTGACGCCTTTGTCTTCTTGCTGTCACGAGAAAGCGCAAAGGTTTCTTTATTGTGCCGCGGGACGGGATCAGGTCTTAAGCACCACGAACAGATTCCGGCCACGTCAATGCTCCTCTCCAGTCCATGTGATATGGGGGAAGTAAAAATAAATCAAGGAGGGCTATTTCCAAGGGGGAGCTAAAGGCGGTGCCAGCGGCGCCAGGTAGGCAGCTATGGAGCGAGGCTTACCAGCAGGCAGGCGCAGGGCATCTGGGGGAGAAAGGAACTGCGCTGATCGGGTGGAGATTTCGGCACTGTGATGGGGGAAGGACATGAATCAGCTGCGTTTATTGTGGATCGGCTGGGCCTAGAATAAAAATTGGCGTCTAGGTATCATGCAAGTCCAATCAGGCGGTGGGGATGGGGAGGGGGCAAGTCATAGAAAGAGTTGAGAGGTGTCAAATTGTTGTTGTTCTTACCACATGGTAAGCTGCCGCATCAGCCAACGTCGGGTCATCTGAATCTTTGACTTTGTCCCCAGGGGTCGTTCTCACTCGTTGTTTCATGGATGATGATCATGATTAGTACCGCTTTTCCTCTCGAATCGTCCCGGACTAGACTAATAATAGGCTTATCTTAGGCTCAGGATTCGGACCAGGAAATGAAATCCGTCCGTCCTGATTGACCATGTGGGTTTGATTGGGTGGTGTGTAGATTAACGCTAAATAGATTGATGTCTGTGTTATTTAGTACCGTCCTTTATATCCATTCAGTGAACATTCGTAGTAGAAAAAGAAGATTAGAATAGCACAACTCGTATATACAGTCATCAGTTCTGTTACACAACTCTCTCTTGCATAATCATTCAGTATCCACTACTATTCTGAGAACGGATACTTCGGACAACAACTCCTCAAATGACTTACCGGGATTCTGAGCTGTCAATTCGCTTTTCTCACAAAGACGAATCGACTGACAGTCTATCCGAGGATATGGTACAACGGGTCTGTCCATCGTGACAGGTGATCCCACTAACATGTCCGTCTATCTGTATAGTACTCCGTATGCAACATCGTATTGCCCTTTCCCCCCCCCTTCTTTCCCCCAAATATGAACCTTTTCTTTTCCCTCCACATATTGTGATACCCCTTCACATGTCCCTAGTGGATCAAGACCACGAGTCCGCGGGACAGGGTGTACAATTCCACGCGACGCAAAACCTCGATGGTGGGACAAGCTAATCAATAGATACCGACCTGAATACAAAAGGCGAAAAAAGAAGAAAAGAAAAAAGAAAAAAAAAAGGGCAAAAAAAAGGGCAAAAAAAAGAAGTACTTTTTTTTTCCCTCACACCGGAAAAGCCGAGACAAGCGGAATGAAAGTAGAAGCACTCCATGTGACCTGCTACTGCCCCTGAATCACGTTACCCCATGATTATGTTTTTTAAACAGTCATCGCCAAATAGCTAGTGCTTGGAGCCATGAGTTATGCTATCATATACACAGTACCGTGATAAGAGAAGACTTCCATCCCGGCCCGCCCCGTCCTTCCCCATTCAGAAGTAAATTTAACGCCCTCATCCTTACTAAAGTAGTAGGGTATCCAAAGTTCAAGGGCCCGACCCGGAGTCTACCGCGTCGGAGTATGACGTCGCATACAATAAAAGTAGATGTACCCTGTACCTAGAAACTACGTGAAATCTGAGCATCGGAGATCCCCGGTCGACGATGAACATGAGCTATTACCTCACTGAGGCACATAGACCTGGTCCCCCTGCGTCGGCGCGTCGTACTGCACGGTACCGACTACAGCGAAAACTACTACCGAACCATCATCTGACTCCTGGATTGCCTAAAAAAAAAAAAAAAAAAAAAAAAGAGCGAAAAGAAAAAGGGACAGGAGTCCTAGTTAATTCTCCGAGGTGACGGTACCCGAGATGCTGGAACGCGAGTGAAGTACTGTAGTGTGGGGCGTAGGGGAGTCGGATGACTCTGCTGGGGCCAAGAATGCCTTTCATCTATCTTACTTTACTGCATGTCGCTGAGATCTATGGGCGGTGGTAAGCACTCTCGGCCGATTGTCAGTGAGTTGGGGAGTGTCTAGGAGTTTTAGGAGGTTTTGGTGTTAGCCGATGGTTTTGATAAGGGTAGTAATGATGGTAATTGGTGATGCTGTGAAGGTTGCTGGATCCTCGTTAGGCATCTAGAAAGGTTCAGGTGATGGACATTGGAACTTTAAGAGGATCACTGACTTGGATTGGCTATGACTCGCGGTGGCTGTGGCATCTGAATTGGAACAGGTGGTTTCGAATGTTTCACTCCTAGGATTGTGCAGTGAGTAGCATACGATTAGATGGGTGCCTTCTTTCTCAGGGCAAGTGAAGGGTGCTGGCTGGTAAGTGCATATTGCGAAGTCGACAGGATCTGATAGAGCCAGGGTATATAGCACAAGCGAGGAGCATCATTTAAGTTCATTTCTTTCATTCGTTGCAACGGACCCTCTATGTATTTGCCATGTTTTACATAGACACCAACCAACTAATTACCCATGGCATGAATTGTGTGATATCAACAACCACAACTGAAAGTCTCACTTTTGGCCATCAAAATCGAATTGTATACAAGAAATCTAGAACTCCTGCTCGTCATCACCGGAAATGATGACGTTGTTAATCTGCTTTCCATTAGTTCTTGTGTTGTCGTGTATGCTGTAGAGACGCAGAACTCACCTTAAGGACCATACGGCAGAGCTGAGTTGCGAGCAAAAGCTGTTGCCTCTTTCCAATCAGGGGATCAATAGCAAAGTGTTCCCGCATATCTAAGACCAGGGAATTAGTATCATTCCTACTTCCAAATGATCGGGAAGCGTACCGTTGTTGCCGGTCATCATGCAGTCAACTCCCAACCTCGAGTTGTTCTCCTTAACCTGGCGAGATTTGATCGAGGCAAGCGTCTCAATCGGGCTCAGACCGGAGTTCTCGGCTAGTGCCAATGGCACGGCATCCAGGGCATCGGCAAAAGCGCGCATGGCATACTGCTCGATTCCAGGGCTCTGTGGAATTTATTAGTCTAGACGTAACCCAAGCCGATGTGTGTGACATACCTTGACGGCGGCATCTTCCACGGCAATAGAGCAGGCAATTTCAGCAGCACCACCACCATATACAACGCGGTTGTCTCGCACCAGGTTACGCACAACGCAGAGGGCATCGTGTAGTGATCGCTTAGCTTCATCAATGATCTGAGAGAACGTTAGTATATGTGAATTGAAGTTAATAGTACAGTGAACTGACCATCTTGTTGCTACCACGCACAAAGACAGTGACAGCACGGCTGTTGGCGCAATCTTCAATGACAAGCATCTTCTCGCGGGTGGTACCGAATGTCATCTCCCGGACACTACCTGCTGTTCCCAGCTTCTCTGCATTCAAGTCCTCAAAGCGAGGAACAATACGACCGTTCGTGGCAATAGCAATGAGCTCAATTTCAGGACCACCAACCCAGCGGACGGCTGGAAGATTGTTCTGGAGAAGGAGATGGTTTGCTTCATCATCGAAACCCCATTGACAGATGACCAAGTTGGCTCCCGAGTCTTTCAGGTGTTGGATCATCTCTGTGAACTTCTCTCTTTCATAATCTTGCAGCTTCTTGAACTCCTCGACCGATGTAATGTCAAGCTTATGCTTCGTCTTCGGCTTGGGGGGCTCGAACGGGCAGGTCAAGATTGCCAATTTGGCATCCTTGACTTCATCAGGCATCTGAGGGTGAGAGAAGTCCTTATCGACAATGACACCCTTGACGAGCAGAGAATCTTCGAGAGCTCCGCCCACTTTTCCGTCGACCTTGATCAACTCGAAATCGACATCTCTACGTTCGAGATCTGCAACGGAGAGGACGGCATCGATGGCGATTTTGGCGAACTGATCGTGAGACTTGGAAACACTGATGACCATTAGTACCGGAGATAGGCAGTATAACAAAGCTGGAATCACCGTCGTACATTTTGCTACCCAGACTAGTCTTAGCAACCTTCAGGAGGTTGGAAGTGTCTTCCTTGCTGAAAGCGATCTCGTCACTAATCTTATCGAGCTGCGCAACAGCGATCTCACACGCTTGATCATAGCCATCTGCGATTCGAATTGGGTGAATGCCCTTATCGATCAGATCAGATGCCTGCTCTAACATGGCTGCTGCTAGGACAACAACACCCGTTGTTCCATCACCAATTTCTTCATCTTGAGACTTTGAAAGTTCCACTAGCAGCTTAGCAACATTGTTTGTGATTTCCATCTTCAAATACTCCAAGTTAGCCATCTTCCAGTGGACGGCGGCGGCATTGCGGACGAACCTGGGACAGAATGGTTGCGCCGTCGTTGGTCACGGTGATATCACCATCTGGGGATATGAGGATCTTGTCGAGACCACGAGGACCCTAGAATCGTTCTTAGATGCTGTCAAAAGGCAAGTGCACGTCCAAATCATACCAGAGAAGTCTTGACAATGTTGGCAACAGTTTTGGCCGCAACAATATGTGATTTCACAGCATCGGTGCCATGTTGTCTCTTCTTCTTTCCCTGGCTATCAAAATCCATCATATCAGCTATTTGCCCTGAGAGGATCGTAACCCCCCGCATATTAAACGTGATGGTCCGCAACGTACTCTCGAACGACAATGAACGGCCGGCCCTGTTCATCTTTCATCACAGAAGCTGTCGGACTGTCAGCGGAGACTCCGAAGGCTTATAATTATGGATATCACGGTAAGATTCTACCTTGAGACAAATCAAGCTCTATATAGAAGAGATTGAAAACGTTAGTACATCGACTTCCAATGAGGGGCACGGAAGACATACGCATCGCCATTTTGTCGGTCTGCCACACGGCAGGAGTCCAAATTCAAAAATTTGGAGAATGCAAGGAACACAACGGTAATATAAAAAGGGATCCCCAAAGCACGTTATCAGAGCGATGTGGGGAGTTCAGGGGCCTGGACACTCTTTCACACTGAACGGGGTCTTTTTTAGAAATTCTGGAGATGTTCTGATGTCCCAGTCGGGCTAGTGAGCTGCTTTCCATATCGGGTATAGCGCCAATTCACATTCACGCGACTGCGCGACTCGCCCGTTCTAAGTAGCACTGAAAGCAACATTATCATCAAGTACTCTTGAGCGCCAATTTCCGTAAGGTTAGGATAGAAATCTACTCTAGCACACTGTGAATCAAATTTGCCAAGCTGTTTTCTCGAATTCTCGCACTCACATCTTCGTTTCGCCGGACAATGCCGCGTATGTGATAAGCTGACTTAGTCGCACTTGAGAGACCCCGTGGAGTTGACAATCGCACAGCACCCGTGGAGAACCTTTCCGACGACGAGTCGACCGGAGAATCTATTCCTTATAACGACGCGAAAGAAGACCATAACTCAGGCCCCGAAAACCAGGAAGACAATGATGAGGATGAAGAGGAGGGCGTGTGAGTTACTATGCGCAGCGACCACTGACGATCAGCGCTGACCGGAGCAGCTATGTCGTTGAAAAGATCCTCGGTCATGACTTCGCGAAGAATGTGCGCTCAATCATACCTTCTCATATCGCATTGTCGCAAGTGGAGTTGCCATGGCTAATGCTGAGATAGGGAACTCTCCTCCTGCAAGTGAAATGGAAAGGATACGATGACCCTGCAGATGAGACCATGGAACCGGAGGAGAACCTGCTGTATGTTTCTGCGTGATTCCTGAAATTCGGCTTATATACCAATTGATCCCTATTAGGGAGGGCGCAAAAGATCTGGTAGAAGAATACTACCGTGTCCAAGGTGGTCGGCCTGAGAAACCTCAACGGGGGAAGCGCAAGTCTATGACTGGGCCAAAGCAGACACCAGAGAAAAGTGAACCTAAAAGGCGAAGAAAGTCCCGAGCGGAAGCTGCCACCGAAACTCCAGATGACGATGATGGAGATCTGCCTGATTGGGTTCCCCGGTCCAAGAACTGGGAGAACGAGGTGCAAACTGTTGACACAATCTTGCGTGATGCGGAAACTTCGAGTTTAATCGCATATCTCCACTGGAAGAACGGAAAGAAGTCCAAGGTCTCCCTTGAGACCTGTTATGAGAAATGCCCCAGAAAGGTAAGTTTACTGGTCATATATATACTTTGAAATACTAATGTTTTTGTAGATGCTTAAATTTTACGAAGAGCATTTGTAAGTTGTCTAATCCAGGTTATGAGAAAATCAGCCGAATTCTAACCGTTGTTAGGGTGTTTAAGGAAGGTTGAATTTTGTACTAACATTCTTCGTCAATTTCTTTTTTTTTGTCCTTTCTAGCCTCGGTGTGTAATTGGTTTAATTCAAGATCCCTGTCTAATATCGTCCGATGGTAAGAGATAGTATCTTTTCTAGATAGTACTGTTTGATCACAGTGCATAAATGGGTGTTCCGTTGGTGTTTTCAATTTATCTATGAAGTCTGTTGGAAATTGGTATCTCTGGGAAACGGAAAATAACATCAAGGGAAAAGAGGGAGAAAAGAAAACAAAAAAAAGTCATCATAACACTTCAGGGTTCCCCACCCCCATATCTTCACATCATTCCGAACTAGCAACTCTTTATTCCACCGTCGACGATTATTGTACTTTTTGAGCCTGTTCGATGTATGTATTCTGTCAGAATATTAGCTGTCTGTCTCATTGAGGCCAGCAGCTCTTGCCATTCCAAGATATTCCCACCGACTGTTAAAGGCATCCGAGCCATGCTTCTTCAAGACTTGTTCAATGGTTCGGGTCTCTTTCGCCTCAAAACACCTGTCGTCTTCGGCCGTCCACACTCCAGGCATATTGTTGGGAATGCCTTTTCCAGCAGTCAGATAGTCTAGGACCTTATCGGCAAGAAACGGGTCCATGCTAGTGCAGCGTAAAGCTTCGATTATTTGCTCCTCATTTTCTGCTCTTCCTGTTTGGAGACGATGATCAATCCAAGTGTCGATGTCTTGCTCTGGCGGCTCTTCGGGTTCGGGTTCGGGGCTTGAAGGTAGGAAAGGCAGTTCTAGAAACAAAGGATCAATGGTGGTTTCTGGATCGTGATCTGGCGACTCTGTTGCTTGAGGTTGTACAATCTCTGATATGTTCGTGGCAGGGCTGTGAGTGATATGTGCATCATTATCAACTGAAGTTGCGGGTGCTGGAGTCCTTTCAATATGTGGAGATATATTTTGATGTGCATGTATCATATGAATTAAATCTTTGGGTGTCTTGTCAATCGCTCTCCTCTTTTGACTCGCAAGGTGCACTCCATCCAACTCGAGATCAGAGTTGTGTTCCGGTGGACGTTTTCGTTTATTATCGCCTAGCTCATGGATAACCAGAGTATCGTCCTGGGATTGCTCTCTCTGTGTGACTTTCTGATGGCCGTCCTTCTCAGCGGACGTGGGAGGATTTGGTTTCGGCATACCCCCCGGACGGGGGCGCCCACGAAGTCTCCTTAGGTATCGGTCACGATATGACTGATAGGTGTGGCGGGGGTTCTGTACAGGATGAAATGTAAGACTGCAAAGATGGGATTCACATGGGTCTGGTATCAGGGGTAAATTACCTGTGTAGCTAGTTCCTGATATATTTTATTGCCTCCTACGAAGGCCTTGGGGTCTTTCTCATACGGTGCCATCTGATCCCATAGCCACTGGTCATCTTCCAAAGTGTATGGGATCGGACAGCTTCTAGTCGGGATATTTGTGGCCCCAACAGGGCGAGCCGCGGATGGTCCAGCTCTATGATCCTCAAGTTCCTCCAGCTTTCCATTACGAACAGACCATTCAACGTACCGATACGAATACCTGGCAGATGATCAGCATAAGTAGGGAAAATCAAAGAGGAAAAAGGTTAGGATAGGAAACGCTCAAAAAATATACTGTCGTCAACTTACGTCCCCGGTGGAAGATTCTTTCTGGCATGGTCAACCAACTTGATATCCGCATCCTTCTCATGGAGCCTCACAACACCACCATATTGCTATATGTACCCATCAGATGATAAACGCCATATGATTGCAACTGAAGGTAATTACCAGAATGAGGTCTTTGAATCTACTTCGTTGGGGAATGTTGTGTGATAACCAGAATTGTTTCCCCTGGAAAAGTGGTATAGGATGATCCATAGAGCTTTTCTTGCCCATGTCACTGTCCCCTGACTTTTGTCCCAGGAGGGCTATATCCAGCCTGATACAGGAATCCAATCGTCGCCTTCGCCTTATTGAAAGTACGGGTTCGCAACCGCGTTCGTGGTACGCGTGATCACGTGCAGATATGCTATAGAAGTTTTCTATACGAGGCAAAGGGACTTTAAGTGGGAGATGTTGCTCCGTTCGTTTCAAGGGGCGCTTGCCTGCGGTGTAGGTATTCCAAAACCTAAAGCTAGGCGCTTTGAAAGCCAGAGGTGTGGCTGTCTTAGTATAGGAACAACCATGGTCGTGTAGAAGAACGTGATATGTTATAGCTCAGACTTATATAGCTGTAGAAAGCCAATATTGCCACAGTCCTGGGGCGGTAGCTCAGTGGATAGAGTGGAAGATTGCAATATACGGCTTATCATTGGTCGTTTAACATTGCAACCTATCTTTAGGTCGCCGGTTCGATCCCGGCCCGTCCCTCATTTCTTTTTTTTTTCTTTTTGAATTTTCCTCTGAGATACTCTTGCCCCTTCTGTTACATAGAGTTAGTTCAAAAGATAATCTAGGTTCAGAAATGTAGATGTATCCTGTTCTACTATATTGGATTGAAACCAATTTGAAATGACTGGAAAGTTTGTCACGTGTAGATAGTAGATAACTCGTGTATACAGTCCATTCTGGACTTGGCTCTCTCGACTACTCCGTAGATCTTGTCGTTATATGATTTCTAACGATCATGTCTACCCCGTAGTGCCAGGGCTTAGACTCATCCCCTCTGTGCAGGTTAACGGCCATATTGAGTCCAATATACGACTAGTGTACCAGATAAGCAACAATGGGGCTCCTGAGGACCATCGCTTTGGTCATTTTAGGCATTTCTGGCTTCACATTTGTCGCACTTTTCGGGAGGTTGCCTGCATTCCGGTAAGGTGAAGAGGTCTGTTCTGAGTGCAATGACTGATGAACATTTTACACAGCAAAACTCCTATTGGCTTACTACATAGGGTTGTTTGCATATACATTCCGAGTGCAATCTCTTCCCTTGATTCTCACCTGTTCGACGGTCGACTTGTGTACTATTGGAGTACATCTGGTAGTTATATATTCCATGAGAATCATCCACTTGTGCTTGTAAATTTCTTGGCCAATGGATCACCTCCCACCTTTGCTAATATCCCCAACAGATATTCTTTGCGTCGCTCCTCATAACAGGGCAATGCATGTTCATTCCAAGTGCATGGCCCAGGGTCTCTACGGCCCATAGGCTCTGCATGCCCATTGCTGCCACATTACCATATTTCTTTCTCTATAAGAGTATTGTCACGAAATCGTTCATCACCCCAAAAAACCACGCGCAAGAAATGGAACGCTATCCGTATGATAAAGTCATCTTTCACCCAGGTCGCTACTGCAGCACATGTGAGTTTAACAAGCCTGCACGGAGTAAGCATTGCAGTTTCTGCAGGGCATGTGTTTCTCGACACGACCATCATTGTGTATGGCTGATGAATTGCGTCGGACTGAATAACTATCGTCATTTTCTGGCCCTGATATTGTCACTCTCTATAATGCTGATCTACGGTTCATGCATTGGCTTCTCCCTTCTGTCTGAGTCATGGGAGAAGTTGATCCCGCTGGACTCACCGTTGCGGACAATAAGACAGAGCTGGACAATGTTTTTCAACGTGTGGACTGTTGTGATTTCAACAGATCTCCGTATTGGAGGCGTTACATCATTGATGTTCATGACAGCACCATTGGCGATGGCTTTTCTCGTTTACCACACCTACCTTATCTGGGCTGGCATGACGACAAATGAAAGCGCGAAGTGGTCTGATTGGAAAGAGGATGTCGCTGATGGTATGGTATTTAAATCTACCAAGGCAGAGGCCTATGGAAACTCGCCTTTGCTACGCGAATATCAGAACCCGCATACATGCTGGCCGGCGAATAGTGACCAGGTGCTTATTCTTACGGAAGGTGAGCCACCGAGAGTGGGCTTCATGTTCTCACCCGATTCCAATGAAATCAGGCAGCCCAATGATGGGGAGGCACCTATTGATCATAAATGGACACCAGTGCGCAGTATGAGGGAGATTGACAATATATACGATCTTGGATTTTGGGATAATCTACGCCACGCCTTTGGATTACCTGCTCGGCGGAAGATGTCATAAAATTCTACATGGATAACGCACTCGAATATATGGATACCTTTAGTTACTTAGTAGCTTGACTAAATCCTTTGATCATTACTAGTACTGCTATTTAAGTACATCTGTTTTTTGACACCAGAGGCAGTTAGCCAATCATATTGTGCGGCATACTTGTGGGAGTCGGCGGGACCGGAGCCGGAAAAATTCACTTTTCAATGCGGCGTTTCTCTGTCTTCCCCGCCCAATTTGTTATCTCCAGTCAACGACTTTTGTCGCATAGTGTTTGTGAGCATCCGCTCAGGCCCTGTCAAGATGGCTGATCGGACTGCTGCGGACATGAAGCCAAAATGTACCCCAGCAGAGCTCATGCTGAAGGTTATCCTGACGGGAACCTTAAGTCACTATGAGACTCGTGGGATGATTGACGATAAACGCCTCGAGCATATGTTATCTGCTGGGAAACAAATCTTGTACAAGACACACCAGGAGAGCGATGTCAGGTAGTGTTCCTTCAATATCTGGCCATTTTGATTGCTTCATCATTTATATATTGACTTTGTTCTCATGGCAGACATAATCTTGGCCTGTCACCGGATATTTGGCAGGGCTTTACAGATGTTTTGACTAAAGCGATACCCGTTCTAGAATCACAGTCATTTGCGTGGAAATGCCCACCGACTGCGAATTACGATCATTCCTCCTCGAACTTGATAGCCTACAATTATTTTTCACTTGTCAAGGACATTGAACGTCTAAATGATCTGTGTACGATCGCCCGCAACCTCCTCGCGACAACAAAGAAAGCACAGAATATGGCGGCGGAAAAAGGGTTTGATCAAAGGATTCTGGCATTGGTAGACACGTGTGTAAGAGTAACTGCCCGCGGGTTTGATGGTGAAACGAATGCAAGGAATGAAGAGCGCTGGCAGAAAGTGGTCAACCTCTACAAGCGCTTGTTGATCACATGTCTTCAGTTTCTGCACAACTTTATCATGCACAACGAACAACGGAAAATGGTACTCTGGCTGGATCTTTTCGGATACCACTCCACTGGAGATTCAAATATCATACAACCTAGAGAGCCGCTAGACCCGGCCAGTGGTCAGCCTGAGGGAGCGGCGCCAATTGTCAAGACTGGTGAGAGAATAGTGAATCCCCCTATTAGGGCTCTTTACGACCAGACGGCAGAAGACTTGCTCCTGGAGACGATCTCTAACTTCCCGAGAGAGCCAGCGACGATCAAAGAAGAAGCAGCAATGTTACTTCTCGCAAACATTAAAGACCACATGGAGAAGCTTCTTGGGCGCGACCTGACAGCAATTCAAGAAATGGGCAAGGATCCAGAGCAGGTCAAAGAGATCCGTGCTGCTCTTACGGCGATACTAGGTGCAAAGGTTGACGGATTCTCGGATCTTCAAGATAGAGCTAAAGATCTGCCACCCGCCCTTCCCGAAGACGAGCCGCCGCGGAAGAAGGCTATACTTACAATAGATCGAAGCACGACGGCCGGATTCCCGCGTATCTGCTGGGCGGACCTACCCGACCTCAACGCCTACGGCGCCCTTGCTGCAGGGGATGCGACTATCATGGAGGAGGATACAAGCATGCCGCGGTCAGCTCAATCTGCTGCGGAAACGCTCCAGGAAGCGAAGGATGAGCTGATGGCAAGACTTCAAGAATCATCTCAAATTGGGGGCGACGGTGATCAGGACTATGACACCGGCGATGCAGGGACAGTTGGTGACGATGATTCACGTAGCCTTGAAGCCGTGGCAGACGGAAGCATGGAAGAAGAAGAGGAGGAGGATGATGAAGATGACGACGATTATCGAGGCCGCCCAGGCGATCAACAACGGGGTTTATTGACGGACATCCCTCTAGTTCTGGGCCCCGCGGAGATAGAGGCGCTTCCAATGATCATTCAGGCTGGTATCGTCGATAGCTTCGGACTGAAGGGAGGAGAGAGAACTGGCTCAAGGAATATGCAGGCGCTTAGATGCCATATCCTGCTCACTCAGGAGACAGGACGCAATTTACTTCGGGAACTCTTGATCTTCATCGCCGCATGGGATTTACCCGACGATGAACTCTATTTCAAGATGATGGTGCAGATTATGGACGCAGTTTTAAGGAACGGCCTCATGTCTCACGCCTACTCTGACTTCGGTCAACCAAAGGACATCATCTCTCCAGCTCAGGCGGTTGTCGTCAAGATTCTCACACATATATTTAGGGCTAAATACTCTCCCGCTTCTGTCACAGGATCTACGCAAGCCAACACAACGAAAAACCCAGCACCGCTCTCTAGGGTCGATATTCTCACAGTCCGCTACATATTCACCATCTTCCGCGGCAACATCATCCCAGAAACCTGCGCCTTGATCTATCTTCAAGGCCAGATCCGCGCTGGACGGGCACTCCCCGAGGATTTCCCGCTGAACTTGTGGGATATGGAACGGGTCTACGAAGGTGTCTACCAGTTCCTGGAATTTTTCGCCGTCCTTACCGAAAACAACGACTGGAAGAATCTTCTAGTCAAGTGGGAGATTGTCTACGATTTAGTTACCTTGATCAAGGAACTTGAAGCAAGCATTCCTAAGGGGCAATTGAGCCAATTGTCACTTGGGCCCCGTAGCCCCTCAAAGGAGTCTCAACCGAGCACGGTTCCTGGGCCAGTTGCGGTTGAACGACCATATGATCCCGGTGATCCGGACCCAGTTGATGGCGGTGCTCCTTCTAGAGCTGAGTCGCCTCCGATAACCGAAGACCCATCCGAATTCGAATGGAGGAACCTTAAGAAGCTTGTCGTGCTCGTGCTCTCATCCCTGGTGTGGAAGTGCCCGGAGGTCCAAGACCAAATCCGTCGACATGGCGGCGTCGAGACCATCCTGTCTTGCACCAACTTTGACGCGCACAACCCTTACATCAAAGAGCATGCGGTGATGTGCTTGAAGTTCTTGTTGGAGGGTAACCGCGAGAACCAAAAGCTTGTAGAAGAGCTAGAGGCACGTGAAGTAGTAAAAGACGAGAACGGACTGCTCGAGAGGAGCGGCTTCGAAGCTGTGATCGACAAGACTGGCAAACTGGCAATCCGACCCAAAGATGGGACTGGAGAAAAGAGATAATCTGTAGACAGAGACTTCAGTCCTTTCTTTTGCACATCGAGTATTAGCATAGATAGACAGAAGTATCATGCAATGATAATGGCCTCATGAATCATCAAACATATCACGATCATATTCTCCCCATTATCAAAACCTCAATCACCACCCCCAAACTCCACAGCTTAATCAACTAATATGACGAACCATCACCACACCTCCATCTAGCCATACATACCATCCCACTCTTCCTCATCATCTTCAACCGGCTTCTTCCTCCTAGCCTCAGCCTTCTCCCTCTCCTGCTTCGCAAAATCCGTCCGATCAAGCGGACACGTGCCCCTCAACCTCAACCACGGCCGCACACACTCCAGATCAAAAAGATGCGTCGGATGGCATGGTAAACGCACAACAAGCGGATACTGGTCCTCCAAAAACGCATTCCCGCAAATCGGACAACTCTGCGACGGCTTCAATGAGGCCTTAGGCACACGGTCCAGAACTAACCCCAAACCAAACATCAGCACTAACCCAACCCCAACTTCATAATAAAAAGGAGAAAGAATACATACCATCGCAAAATTCCTCACTAACACCCTCAACCTCCCGCGGAGGCGTCTCGGCCGAGCTCAGCAAGCTCTGAATCATCTGCGTCAGGAGGTCATCATCGCCTTCGCCGGAAGTGGGTACGCTGTGGTCGCCCTCGCGGCGCATCAGATCGAAGGCTTCGGCGAGGGAGTAGAAGGCTGCGCTCACGTCGCGCGGGACGGGAACGGCATGTTCCCTTGTGCGGGCTTCGTCGGGGCTAATTTCGGAGAGGGTCGCGAAGAAGGTGGAGAGGTCGGGGCGCCGACGGTGTGTTGAGGGCGTTGCTGTGCCCGGGTCTGTTGTATTGTGTTCAACTGTTTTCTTTTATTAGATTTGTCTTTTTTTTTGTTAGATTAAGGAGACGTGGGGTCGTACCTTCGTAAGTGGACATTTTGGTTGTTGGTGTTGAACTTGTGTTTTGAGGGGAGGGGTTGAGGTGACGAGGGGCGCGGGGTCGGGCCCAGGTTCCCTGGCAGTTCGGGGTCTTGGTTTTGGTGATGGGTTGTTATTTGGTGTAGGTTGTGTCTGAAGGAGAAGGAAGAGGGAGTGGACTGCAATGGGTTTTGGAGTTGTTATATTGCTGATTGTTCGGTGAAGTTATGCGGAGGCAGCAACCGATAACGCGTTTTAGTGGTTCAGTGCGGAGGTCGAAATTCTATTTGGGTTATGGTCCATGAGCACAATGGGATTAAAGGCACCACATGACGTACTGGTCGTATAATGTATATGTTAGTCTTTTAGACCAATTCAATATTCTTGACTTTATTGAACTAAATGACCTTATACTCAATTCCACCGCAGTGCCATGTTGTAGATACACATGAGATATATACATGTCCTAAGATATACCGCAATCCGAGATCCTTCCACGATATCTCATTAAGTCAATAATTGAAATTTTCATATACTATTTCTTTCCCCGGAAGCCAATTCAACACCGAACTCTTCAAGGAAGGACCACCACAGAAGTACCATACGTCCGCCAAGGATGGATCTAGATCTTTAGCTTCCATTCGGCGACGTTCGACTTGTGCTCCAGATGCGACTAATGTTGCCAGTTGTTCAGTAATCTTCTCATCCTGTGTCTCAGGCCCAGTTATGAAAAGGCTTGTGGCGTGGGGTAATTGAAGGAATCGATTGAATGTGTCCAAAACCAGACCAAGGTCGCGAATGGAAATTGACCAAAGTAAACGTAAGCGACTGACATCAATATCAGGGAGTTGGGCAAGAAGTGGCGTAATCCCGATACCACCGGCTATGAAAGGAATTTTGTGATGCTCACTTGGTGTTCTCAAATAGAAGTCACCACCGAAGCCTTTCAAAGGTACCTCCAAACCCGCTCGCTCGTTGGTTCTGAAAAGGTAATCGGTTACATTACCGTGTCTCCGAGCAGTTATCTCAAACTCTGTAGAGCGGTTATGTACTGGATAGGACGAAATTGTGAAAGTTCGGACATAGTCATCATTGATACTCAATGGGTCATCATCTTTCATGTGACTATACCCCATGTCCAACTCTTCTTGGAAGGAGAGGGTAGCATATTGCCCAGGCGCCCATGTCCCGATCTTTGATGGATTTGATATTTGAAAACGAAACCGGCATATTGTCGCGGTAAGTAACTCCTTCTTCACCAACATAGCTGTAGCAGAGGATTTTTCATCTCCTATGGCAGCAGGGCTAGCCTTTTCGCTGGCCAAGTATCGTACACTTGGATTATATGGAGATTTTGCTCCTGCAACGCCACGAAACGCTAATGATTTCTCTACGTACCGAGCTGCGGTGACAGTCACTTTCACGGCTAGGTTCGATCGTGGAATGAGAGCGGCGGCCTCTTTCCCCACCAAGATCTCAGTTTGTCCAGTGACGTATAACGCATCTCCTGTTTCAAAATCCGGAAAGACAAAGCCTGCCAAAGGTGTTGTTTTAAGGTTACCCAGAGTTTGATACAGGCGATTGCCGGAATATTCTGGGTAAGCAAATACCGCTCCGTTAGGTTCGTTAGATATCACACGGACAAAGCCTGGAGGTCCACCACGGATGTTGGTATCCATATCCACATCTCCATGTCGTGAGGATATAAACAACGTGTCCGCACGATCAAGGAGCTTCAAAGCGCTAGAGGGCAGCTGAGGGGACTCCGAGATTAGTCTTGGAGTAGGCAGAGCCGGGGTAATGTTTCTAATATTTATATACTTGGGACAATTGCCTGCAGCTGTAAGCAACTCCTGGATATAGTCTTTTAATTCCAATTCTTACCAAGACTTGCTTCTATTTGCACAAGCAAATGCGCAAACCCTACTTTGCTGGAGTCAGACTGATTCTCTTCGTTCATTTGTATCGATCCGGTGATTTTCCTCCCAAAAAGCTTTGCCCTTTTGCGGGTCGCTAGGTCGACAACTAGGCCAGAGACCAACTGCCCGGACTCCCCTGAGCTGTTATGTAGCAGTATCTCTGCTAGAGGGTCATGCTTGCTATCAACAGGGGTCCTAACCTCGATCTTGGATTGAGAAGTTGGTTTGGCGAAGCCTACCTCACCACCCCACAGCGTTGACCAAGGCCGTCCCTCTCGATCAACGGCACCGATAGCAAGCAAAGGCGAGTTTATGAGCAAATAAGTTGCCCCGTAACTTAGAGAAGGCACTGTGGGGTTGATGATAGGCGGAATACGGAGCAAACTGCGCATTTGTATTTCGCCATCATGCCAGGGAAGGGTATCAGTTAGAAGGGACGCCATTGATTGATGTGTTGATGCTATAAAAAGTATGGGATTCTCATGATGAGCTATAGATCACTGATACTAATAACAGAGATATGTGTTGATATTGACGAACACGATTGGATTGGTCAGCACCCGATACTAGGCCTTTTGACTAGTTAGTGACATAAGTGAACATTATTTTCATTGACTTCAAGAAGACATAAGTAATCATCCTAAATACCGATGGCTCGGCAGGCGGGGAAGAGGTTTGCTCTGTTTGACTGCAGATTGGCAGTTTGGACCGCAATGGGGATGCCTAAAGGCTGTCTGACGTGTCATGTGATCGTTGCCCTGGACAGCACGTGTAGAGAAAATAATGGCGATTGTTCAGGATCCACACTTTTTTCAATGTATCCGGGAACAATTTAGCCCAAGCTGGTACAGTCCTCTGAACGGTCATACAGGTACTTGACTTCCTGGATGCCGTTTGAATGACTGGGGCAAAAACCACCCCAGCAACAATCGTCATCGTATTTGACTATGCCACTAGTGGACTCCATCCTTGTGGTTGGTTTCTTTCTTTAGCAACACCCGCAGTGGAGCCAAAGATCGGCCACAGAGGAGGCTTTGCATTGCGACGCCTGTCTGGATCAACAGCCCACAGCCTTCGCTCGTTGGGCTTTTTCTGTTTTTCTCCCTTGTTGATTCGCATTTTCACTTTCTTATTTACTCCTATTCATATTCCTTCTTGCTGGTTCAAGGGATATCAAAATTTTTATTCAACCACCCTCCTTCACGTGTGGTGGCACTGATTGACGACAAGTGGATCTTTGTTTTGTTATCATATCAACATCCATACATATTTTCCCCCACACGAGACAAAAAATTAATTAATATCGACTGATTACTGCTTGATCCAAGCGCATCACCACCCCGACTCAAACAGATATCAACATGCGATCCAAACCTAGATCCGTGAAACCATCGGCGTACCCTGCAATACCATTTCATGCTATCCGCGCTGTGGGCTTTATTTCTACTCTGGTCGTCGGTATCATTCTAGCCGTCTTCATCTACAACCTCCACCAAGGTGGCTTCAAACTTCCTTGGGCATTCCTGGTCGTAAGTCCCGCATGAAAAACCCACTCCCTCAAGAAATGTAGCTAATATAAACACACCCTAGTTGCTGATCACCGTTATCCTTTCCCTTCTTAATTACGTCCTGACTACCATAACCCACTGCTGCTATGGTCTCTCGCCGCGCCTATCACTCCTATCGAATACGATCTGTCTTCTTCTCTGGCTCATCTCCCTCGGCCTCCTGAGCTGGAGCATGTCCCAAACGATTCTGACTACCTGCAACGCCACGTACTGGGCTACTTCTACCGGTATCACCGTTTGTCGGATATACAAGGCATTGTTCGCCTTCACTGTCTTAGGGAATATCTCGTACATCGCCGCCATCGCCCTCGATGTTATCGTACGCAGACGTCAGACTCGTCTGGGCGAGTACGACCCCATGGCCAGCAACCCAGCCTTGAACGATTACAAGATGCACGATCGCAGCAGCAGTGCCTTGTCAGGAGGCATGGGTCCTTATGGTGGACTCGATGAACAACATCCCGCGCTTCGCTCGAATCATCACACTGATGATGTCTACAGCGATATCCCTGCGCCGGGCAATTATTCCAGTCAGGCGATGCCCCCGCCCGTGTATGGCGCCAGTTCCACCTTTGAGCAGCATCATGGTGGTGAGGCACAGGATTATTATCAGCCGACGCCTACTCGTCCTCGTGTCCGATTTAGCGCTTATGGACATGACGGATACAGTCACCCAACTGAGCAGACGCATTATGATCCTGCGGCATATAGATGAGCTCTTGCGGTACATACCATTTTCTAGATGTAACTGGACAATCACTAGGAATTGTACAGTATTGGGGACTGTCTGCTTACAACGGACCTGGTAATGTGTCGATTATATGAAACTCGAGCTGATGTGTTACGATCTTGCAGTGAAGGGCTCATACTTGTTTTGTCAGGGCGTAATAGGTGTATTATTTATATCAAAGATGTCGTCCTTTCTGTCAGTCTTAGATGTTATGATCATGAATCATGCCAGATTTGTATGATTGTGGTTATTTTTTCTCTCTCTAAATACTTCTTTCTCTCCGAGAGAAGCAACCGTAGTCTAGAGCATTGTATTCGGCTTGAGCATATGAAGCATATAGTTAATGCTAAGGAGGTTAAACAAAGTCCATGGCTTGCCAGAGTTATAGATCATAATGAGTCAAGGCTGATATAAGAGATAGTATTAGTTCCAAGACAAATAAGGAAAGATATGGACCACATTTGATATTCACGAGTCCACCCAACGTTATGATTCCATGTATGTTTACATAATGACCTCGTTGGCGACATCCTGGATATGTGATTAGTTGTGTTAAGAGAACATTTGAGGGATAGAAGAGGCACATACACGCTTGAGTTCCTTGTACGGCAGACACACACAGTTTTGCACCCGTACTTCATCACCAACGGCACACTCCTTACCCAGGATGGTGATGCTCTGTACCTTGACGCCGTGCTTCACGATGCTAGTGGAATGAGTTCCATTCGCAATAGGGGTACCCTCGACACGGGCCCAGGCACCGACCCGGCCGCTCCATCCTATGATCGAGTGCATCACGCAAGCGTCGTGTTTGATCTCAGCATCCTCGAGCACGATCGAATCCTTAACGCGGGCTCCTGCACCCACAACCGCACGGGGGCCAATTGAGACATTGGGTCCCAGCTTCGCCGTGGGATCAACGGTTGCGGAGGGGTGGATGAAAACTGGGGGAACAATGGTCGCGGAGGGAGCGGTAAGTTCGTCGGATTGGGCCTGGAAGGCCTTCTGGAGGTAGAGAGCATTGGCAGGGACGGCAGAGCCGGCAGTCTTAATCTGGCGCCAGAAATCTTTCGTTTCGTGGACGAAAAATCGGTTGCTGTCGGCAAGGTCTGACAAGATATCCTGCTCTAGGCGGAGAACTTCGCTCTTTTCCGAGTCTTCCTCGGCAGCAACGAACGACGACTCTAGATTCTCAGAGGATGGGTAGGATACCAGACGGGGCCTGGTGGTGCGGCGTTTGATAGCACTGCGGATGGAAGGGAAAATGCACTCAGTTGCAAACAGATATACACCGCAGTTAATGAGGTTGGAGATATGCGATTCGGGTTTCTCGACATAGTGAAGCACTCGCTTGGTATGCGAATCGGAAACTATGCATCCGAAGTTGGTGGCAGCATCATTGTTCACTCTGGTTCCAAGAATAACAGCCTCCGCATCCTTCTCCTCAAACAGCCTCAGCATCTCCCCAAGCGGGAAAGAGCAACAGACGTCGGCATTAAGTACGAAGATGCGCTCCGGTTTGCCCTTGAGAATGGCATCGCGGAAGTGGTAGAGACCACCAGCGGTACCTAGAGATGTGTATTCGCGCAGATACTGAATGCGGAATTGGGGGAACTCCTTGGTGGAGTCTTTGATGAAGTCGCGAAAGACGGTTTCATCGTAGTAGCCGACTAGGTACACATCTCGGATATCGGGGATCTTTGCGAGGGCTTTAAGGCCATGATAGATGATAGGATGTCCGGCAACTTCGAAAAGAGGCTAAAGATAGATTGTATCACTCATTAGCACATGCTCGGAGATTATTCAGGGGTCATGGGGAGATCAACGGAGGGGGTCACTAACCTTGGGCACATCGAGAGACAGAGGCCTGAAACGGGTTCCTCTGGATGGGCCACCGACCTAGCAGCAAGTCATGTCAATTATAACCATCTAGCGACCGGGTTTCTGCAGTATATACCAAGATGATAGCCTTGGTGGAGGCCATGTTGGTATGTTCCCGCACTGGTACTTGAAGCATTGGGAAAACAATGGGTGGGGTGGGGAATATGAGTAGGTATCACAAGATAAGTTTAGTGATGTCGCAATGGAGAAGAGAGTGAGGACGAAAAGTGATATCAATCACGCAAAGAGGGCGGTAAGTAAGGATAAGGATACGGTAGAAAGTTTTCTCAAACTAGGACCGGAACCTTCTTGGGCGTGAATGCTAAAGATGTCCGGAGTCCCATCAGGAGAAAGAGAGCCTAAAAGCGGATATTCCATAAATAACTTGGCAGTAAAATTCACCGCTTTCGTCCATGGTGATTTATAGCTGCCTTCCTCTTTGGGACATTAATACGAAGGTATATGGATGAATAACAAACGATATAATCTCTTTGTGCGCCTCAGCTCTCCAGTGTTGATGGTAGCTAGTCCTAGACCCTCTCTCGAATATAGAGATAAATGTACTGCCAAAATCGAACCGGTGCGGGGTTTCCCTCTCCACTACAGTGACAGTCAGATACTAATCTATGGATGGTACGTCTCAACATGTGCGAGGACCATGGAAAATTATTAGTACATAGTATTTGCTACTATCCTATAGTGGATAAACCAGTCAAGGTGAATACATTGACTTACAAGGATGATAGGCGGCTATAGAGCAAGGCGTCTACAGAAAATATCTTCAACTCTAGATATGGTAACCTTTGGGATAGATTGGTGTACGCGACTGGTTATGCGACATTGTGACCATAACAAGATGATTCTGCTGTGTGTTCACCTACATCGTGATTCAGTCATATCCTTAATCGCGTATCCAGCAAATCCTCATCGCCTGATTTGAACGAACCGGCAACCCCACATCTTTCACAAAAACCCTCGCAGCAGTCTTCAGGAATACAAGAAAAACTATGAGTCAGGTATCCTGACAGGCTAGTGTCCTAGTATACATTCAACTATATGCCTTTGGGGAGCTTTTCCGGAGTTTGGGATCTGAAGACTAAAGGTAGCGTGAACATTTCCTCGTCTTCCTCTTTCTTGATCGCCGAGAGCCACTCTTGCGCTTGGGTAATCTTTTTCTTCTCCTTAAGCAGGTACTGGCGTCGACGTTGGCGTTCAAGGTCTGGAGCCATGAGCTCTTGACATCGTTCAAGTGACATACCATCTGTATCGGAGATATGTAGCTCTTTTTCGATAACCGAGACGAGTTCCTCTCGGCATTTTGAAAAAAGTCTGGTATGAATACCCTGGCACGTAGAATCGACGAACCGTGAACTAGCTACCTCATAGTAACCCCGAGTGGACTAGAAAGTCAGCGTCTGTGCAGAGTGTTGAGAGTGACAAGAAGCTTACCGCCATCATCTTTACTTCTTGAAAGAACCTGTCGGGTCCAAGTTCAGCTGTTGTCAGCTTCTTGAGCTCAGCTGCCTTTCGGATGTCATTTTCTGGACACTTTCCCTGAAGTTCGAGGTATAAATCGGCTCTAGCCAGGTGGCGCCGAGTACTCAGAAAGTGGTGCGCGTCCTTGGTAGCATGTTCAAGTTGCGCTGTAGCCATAGTGAACGGTTTGTGATGTTCGATATTGTAATTATCGATAGCGTACTTTGTATGTTGCTCCTGAAGTTCTCTAAGATATTTCTCGATCATCCTTTTTAATTCCCTGAAGAGGGTTGTCTGATAGTACTGAGAAAATACTTCTCTGAGCTGCTTCAGCAGCATCTCTTTGACTAGATTATGTGTCGCCTTGAGGAAAACAAGCATTGGTCCATCCCAATGTTCGACACTCAGTTGCCGGAGCTTCTCGAGGGCCTTGGGATCTGCCTGGTCGGGGATTCCAGCACGGCATGAGTCCTCGTTAATTTCGCGGATGTTTTCCCAGGTGAACACTCGAGCAGGTTGGACGAACTGGTTGAAGTGATCGGTAAAGTATCCCGAAGCTCCCAGTTTCGGTGTCTGCAGATCTGGAGAGGCACTGGGGGACTTGCGCTTCACTGGCCTTGGCGCTGATGTCATTTCGCAGTCTGAATCTCCATCGGGTTGTACTGGAAAAGATGTTCGATCCAATTCTGATAAAAGCGACACTTTTGGGCGCGTACGGATCAATGCCGCTCTAAAGTCCTGCGCTATATGGCCCCAGATCTTCAGCAGAGGATAATCTGAAGAGCCTCCTTCAAAATTAGCGCGAATCCTGTCTCCCAGATCGTAAAGAAGCTTGCATAAGATGTATAGAACATTGGCAGAAGGTGGATCAGGGAGCTCTTTAAGTTCCTCATTGATACGAGCGGCCTTGGTATCGATTTGCTCAATGATCCCTGGAAGACAACCTTGGATCTGTTCTAGAAGGAGACTTGAAAGCGATGTTTGAAGGCGACGAGTTCCAAACCTATCTTGGTAGGGTGCTAACTCCTCAGCCGTCCAAGGAGGTGAAGCAAAGAAGCCGTCCTCCTCTTCTCGGGCTTGGGAATGTTCGATCGCTGGATCCGGATTGTTGCGAACAATGTAGTAGCCATGTCCAAGTTTGAATTTGTAACCCTCCAAGATATCTACCCATTGCGAATATGATTCACCTACCTGTATTCTATCAGGCTTTGTCAATACCCCTAAGGTGCGTTGATGAGCACCACGCACGTTTCGCATGATGCGTGCTGCGCTGGAGTTTGTTGCGTCATCCGTCATGGGCAAAGTCAATAAAACAATACAGTTTTGCTGTGAGATGTACTCCTTGACCAGGTTCTCAATGAGCAAGATAAGGTATCTCTCTTCGTCTAACTCTGCCTGGCTAATGACGCCAGGAAGATCATAGAATGATAAATTGGGAAAGTCGGGCGCTGAGATGTCAAGTCGCACAATGTTAGGCGAGAACTTGACTTGGTAATGCGTATTGGTACCCGCATTTTTTCCTGGAATATATTCTTTGGAAGGCTGTCCTGGATTCAGGATAGCAAGCTGGGCCCACTTGATGGCTTCCTGGACCTGGTCCTTGTCGGACAGCGTGATGAAGTGTTCCTCTTCCTGATCTTGTTCGATCCATGGACCAAGCGGCTGAGCCTTTCTGGGAGCTCTAAGCTTTCGCGATCCATCGTACATGTATTTCCGTGATAGGTATATCTGGCATACCCAAGGCCGGCCGGGCTCACCCTCAGAGAGATTTATCTCCATTGGACACCTCGTACAAGTACCAGCGCTTCTGGGAACCTTTATCTCAGACATTCCTTCTATGAGTGAGCTCTTGCCCGTACTCTGGTCTCCTATCACACAGATCTTGGGTAGAGCAATCTGGTTATCTTCTATGCCGATATGGCGGAGGTCTTGTATCTTCCGGACTAGGGCCTTCATGTCGCGTGCAATGACCTGGATCGCCTTATTCTCCAAAGACCTCATTTTGGATGGGGATTCCTGAGCGGTAACTAATAAAATTGTTAGCCTGCGTATCAATAATTAGATGGGTCTTATATACCGTCTGTAGAGTAGCCAGGGCTTCCCAGCTGCGACATCTTCGACAATCTAAAGCTCCCTCTCTGTGTGTGTGTTGAGAGATGAAGATGAAGGTGGTGACAAGAGTAACACTCGACAAGTAGGAAAGACAGCTGGGTTGTAAGGAGGGGTGAGGCGTGAATGAAAATGGTCAAAGGAAGCTGGAGGAGGGGGCGGGGCCCAAGTAAAGTGAATGTTTTATACAACATAAGCAAATATGTGAGTAGGTGTGTTATGCACACATCTCTTAGTACTATGATACAAGTTGTGTTGGATAAAGGCTATATTTACAATATACCGTACTTTTGGAACTGCCTGTCCAATCAAGTTTATATTCATGCTAAACCTTTAGCAAAACGTTATTGTCATATGCTTGTTGGTGAAGCCGAATTTGTTAAGACTGTAGAATTCTTGCACCCACAAGAATATTAAACCGCTGGACCTTTCCGCGTAAAAGCTTCATCAAGACGTCCCACTTCCTTCTAGCCACTGGTATCTGGTGGTGTAAGGATACCAATAATGACAGCCTGCGACTACCATTCTATATAGAATAATGTACCACATAAACCTCTCTGGTGGATCATTGTTCGCAAAGGCTGCATAATGTTTCCTCCTCTGCATCGATGATCTGGGATTTCAAACAAGCTAGCGCGTCTTTCTCAGATATCGCAAGCTGGTGTGTTAGCACAACGACCGTGTTGTGAATAGGTCCTGCCAATTGCTCTTTCTTTTCCCCTGGGTAGCTGTAGTAATCATTTAAAAGTGCCACTTCTTCTTCAAGTGGCTCAACAATACGCGTCACACTCTCCTTTTCAGCCGCATCTAACTTGATAACCATTGCTAACCATGCGACTTCATCGACCTTCCACGAGGAGAAATTGGCGCTGATTCATCAACTACTACGTACACATCCAATATCTCAATATCGCTTCATTACAAATTATGGGCTTCTCCCTTTCGATGCTTATTAAAATTGTATAATAAACTGACTCCTGTGAAATGACTTCTAGCCTCAGTGCACATTTTCCTAACGTTTTGTCCTTCGATATTCCTGCGTTTGTCGAATCAGATGTAGCAAGATAATTAACCATATTTCCCCGTGGGTAATAAGTAGTGATATCGAAAAGGTTCATATGCTCTACTAAAGATATGTGAAAGATACACAATCCTGTTACTAGATCTGCCCTGGAGCTAGTTCTGATTACTCTGGCTCTTAATCAATACCTAGAGAGCGCTCAGCACATATACTTCTGCCTTGAACTACGCTCCAGAATCAATTACTAGTTAGAAAGCGGCCCTGGGCTAGTCCCATTCCACTCTACTAGTGGCCAAGTGCAAAGCCCTGAGATAACCCAAGGCAGAAAGGGTAGATCAACACAGGACTTGAAACCTAGACAAGCTATTCTACATCGGAAGTAATAGGATCATAGAATCAAGAGCTTTAATCCAGCTATCGTAGGTCCTGGGATAGTGGATCTTACATACCATTACTTGTCTTATACTGTCTATCGTGTTTCTTTATTTCAACTTCTTTTAGTGCTGCAGATATTTTCTACTTCTGTAGACACACTTCAATGAACATTTGAATTAACCTTTCTGAAGTTGTTAACTACCACACCACTGAGGGTTACTGTCCCGATGTTACGGAATACTCCGTGAAGTCCCTTTGTTGACCGAGATGCAACCGTAGCCGTGCTGAGGCTAAGTCAGTGTATCTGCAGTTACGAGTATATTTACATGGACCAGCAAAAGCACATATAGCAAAGGTTTTTTGAGAAGAAATACTGATGTATATTTCTGATTCTCTGTTCCTATTGTTTAAGGCCTTGTCTACAATAGTGGTCTCCTTTAAGAGATATCGTGCGTTCCCCTCTATCTATGGAGGGGCAAAGGAAACCCCGCCTATGTGCCCTAAGCCCTAAGCCCTCAGGTAAGAATAAGGAACATGACTGACAGTTACCAGATGATGGTCTTAGTTTCAAGAGACGATTAAGGTAGAATGTCAAATTCTTAAGTATATTAAGTGATAATTTCATAAGAAGCCTGCGCATGAAGAATATCATGACTCATAGGAATTGTAGGATGTCATTGATTCTTAACGTGGGGTAATTAATGACCCAATGAAAAAAAAGTTGAGACTCCCGCCCAAAATTCTTTGGCTCACCCACCGAACCTCCGCCGTCTCTCATATCCTCACTCTTCTCCTTCAGTGCGACAGGACATATAATCCACCATGTCGGAACCCAATGCAGTTAAGGAGGCTGAGGCCTCCATGGCCAACCTCTTACTCGATGAAGTCACTGGTGAGAAGGTTTCTAAGTCCGAATTGAAGCGCCGTCAGAAGCTCCGTGAGAAGGAGGCCAAGAAGAAGGAGAAGGAGGCTGCTGCCCCTCCCAAGCCCGCGAAGAAGACTTCTGCTGAGGAAGACGAGGCCAACTTGACTCCCAACGTAGGTTTCTTGCTTCTGCTTTTAGATGTCTGTGCAGTGGCACGTCTAATTTGTAGATCGCTAACCCTGAGCTTTCAACCTTTCTTTAGCAATACTTCGAAATCCGCAGTAAGAGAATCAACAAGTTGCGCGAGACCAAGCAACCCGACCCCTACCCTCACAAGTTCCAAGTCACCGATGACTTGCGCCAGTTCCTCAAGGAATATGAGCACCTTGGAAAGGGTGACCAGCTGCCCGACAAGACCGTTCGTATCGCCGGTAGAATCTACACCAAGCGTTCCTCCGGCGCCAAGTTGATTTTCTACGACATCCGCGCAGAGGGTGTGAAGGTGCAAGTAGTGTGCCAGGCTCAGAACGCTGCTGGCGATGTCTCCTTCGAGGCTCAGCATGAGCATCTCCGGAGAGGTGATGTTGTTGGTATTGTCGGCTTCCCTGGTCGCAGTAACCCCAAGAACCGCCCCGATGGTGAGCTGTCTATTTTTGCTTCTGAGGTCGTGCTCTTGGCTCCTTGCTTGCACGCCATTCCCTCCGAGCACTATGGTTTCCAGGACAAGGAACAGCGCTTCCGTCAACGTTACCTTGACTTGATCATGAACGACCGCTCGCGTAATGTCTTCATCACCCGCTCTAAGATTGTCTCCTATATCCGCAACTTCTTCGACACCCGCGACTTCGTCGAGGTCGAAACCCCCATGATGAATGCCATCGCCGGTGGTGCAACTGCCAAGCCCTTCGTCACTCACCACAACGACCTCGACATGAACCTGTTCATGCGTGTGGCTCCCGAGTTGTACCTGAAGATGCTCATCGTTGGCGGCCTTGAGCGTGTGTACGAAATGGGTCGTCAATTCCGTAACGAAGGTATTGACCTTACCCACAACCCCGAATTCACAACCTGCGAGTTCTACTGGGCTTATGCCGATGTCTACGATGTCATGAACCTCACTGAAGAGCTGGTCTCCGGCCTGGTGAAGCACGTCACCGGCGGTTACGAGACTGTTTTCCATACCCAGTCTGGCGAGGAATACAACGTCAACTGGAAGGCCCCCTGGCGCCGTGTGGAGATGATCCCGGCCCTCGAGGAGGCCACTGGTGAGAAGTTCCCACCTGGTGACCAGCTACACACCGCTGAGGCGGGCGAATTCCTCAAGAAGGTGCTGAAGAAGACTGGCGTTGAGTGTTCTCCCCCATTGACCAACGCCCGTATGCTTGACAAGCTGGTTGGCGAGTTCATCGAGGAGACTTGCGTCAACCCGACCTTCATTACCGGCCACCCCCAGATGATGTCGCCTCTTGCCAAGTACCACCGCCAGAACGTGGGTCTTTGCGAGCGTTTCGAGGCCTTCGTCTGCAAGAAGGAAATCGTCAACGCCTACACTGAGTTGAACGACCCCTTCGACCAGCGTCTCCGTTTCGAGGAGCAAGCCCGCCAGAAGGACCAGGGTGACGACGAGGCCCAGCTCATCGACGAGAACTTCTGCACTAGCTTGGAATACGGTCTGCCCCCCACTGGTGGTTGGGGTATGGGTATCGACCGTCTGGTCATGTTCCTCACCGACAACTACAGTATCAAGGAAGTCCTTGCCTTCCCCTTCATGAAGGAAGACAAGTCGGCGGCCGAGACCAAGACCGCCGCCGAGGTGGTTGGTATTGAGCCCCAGCCGGAGGAAGGAATTCGTAAGTTTTTGTTCTATTGAAATGCTGCTTCTAAATGAAAGAGTACTAATATTCCGTGCCATGTTTAGCCCACAAATAAATTTATGAACTACACGGGATGATGGTTTGTTGACGACTTTTTGTTCTGCACGTTTAATTCGATGTCAATGAAGGGATGCCTAAGATCAAGATAACCAATATATCGAGACAGATCGTACATCTAGGTTTACAGCCTCAGAATAGAAAGGAGAGTATGATCGACTTGAGTGTTTCACTTTTGTAGTTCAACAAAAGACATAAATTCGATATATGCCTTCAATTGGTATCCAGTAGATTCAAAGCCATACTGGAGCATCAGGAGTACTATTTCGCCGCTCACAGCCTGAAAGCCCGCCTAATAATAATCTACAATGCCTTCCAAGTAAACCCCTTGCAAATAGACCCACGCCTTATTGGGGGTCAACCAAGCCACCTCAAGAATCTACAACAAGTGTTAAGGCGAGTTCTTCCATCTAGGAACAAGCCAAAAACGATAATATCAAAGAATGATATAGGAAACCCACAAACAGCACACATCCATGTCTTTTGTTCAAGAAATAGTCTTTAAACTCTTGAGGAACTAGTGCTTATCTCTAGACAGGTTCAGCCGAGTATCATATAACGATATAAGGAAGCGGCTTAGCCTAACTGCTGAGAAGCTCCCACACGCCTTTTATATTCTTTCTTCTTCTCCTTTGTTATATTTCAGTGAATGCTCTTAGATATCCAGTGACATCATAGCCACACCTACAATTCATTGACCAAGGACTCTGGACAGATGCAAATCTACTGATCCATTGATCCGATACCATCATACCAGCCGCCGAACCACTACATATCTTGTTTTATATTATAGAGCTACCTGGACACTGTAGAATCATTTGTGGCCTACTTTCTTTCATAGGAGTAATGCTGGGGAAACTGCTGAGTATGTGTGAGAAGATACGACATCACCCAGAGTGAATCGCCAGCAACCAAAGTGTACAAGAGCTCACGGGGTCTCCCATCTGATGCAAAACATTTCTGCTCAATCTGTACATTCCAGTATCTCGCTTAGCATTATTACTCCGCATCTTCTTTTCTTTTACCATACAAGTATGCCCAGATATTTCCTATCTATCTGTTCTTATAAATGCTAATTCTTTCATTTCTATCCTTCAACTAGTTGTACTACTCTGTTTCAGGTAACCTCATCCCCGTTTCTGATCTGTTTTGACGTTTTGAGCTGCTTGGTAGGACTGACAAGGAATGATTCAGACAACCGTCTCTGATACATCCATCAATATGATAAATAGAGACGAGACGGGCGACAACAGTGACCCATTCAGAAAACTCCGCTATCTCCCCCCTCCTCAGACCAGCCAGCACCTATTCCACCCCCAACCTATAAGACCTACTGTTGGTCCAGCTTGTTTGGTATGCCATCCTTCAACAACAACAATAGTTGGTCCTCTCCCCATGACTGTGATATTCTGATAATCTGGTAAGAGGCAGAACACAGACCCCAGTGGAGCCATAGATTCTTTCTCCCTTCGTGACAGCTTGTTCGGACAGGAAGAGTTGAGCCCCGGTGCCAGACACTTCACTGTCGAGAGCCAGTATCTTCAGAGAACCGCGCCTCGCTTTCCAACCGAGTATGTGAATTGGCGTTTTGGGGACCCCATTCTCTCAGGTTGGAGAGTCACCGTGACGCCTCGCGTTGTTAACAGTCCCCGTCCTGAACAGCATCACATCTTGGTTCCCGATATTGAGACTTCTGAGTCCTATGAACGTCGCCGGGATATCTCCGCATTGCCCTTGTTCTGTTCACAGCCAGATCATACCGTGATAGAGCATGCGGCGATCCTGCACAGTATGAGGAATTCTGAACCCGAGCCTGTCATCGTCCAGGACCCCAAAAGAGTATTTAGACCGGGCAGTGCTCTTGAAGACACGACTATGAATTATGGTGATCCTCACGAGCGAAGTTCCCCCAAAGAGACAACCGCCCCAAAGACCACTAATGAGCCGGGCGACACGTTTCTGTTTTCTATGCCTGTAATGGGGAAGGAAGTAATACTGTGTGAGTTCGAAGAGTTGGCTACGCATACGGCGAAATGTGACATCTGTAACAAGCGCAATTCTTCCGGGATGTCTCGCTGTCTGACCTGCGGTTGGCAGACTTGCTACCCGTGCACAATTGCCCGTGGTTATTTTCGCACCCACCACGTCAACGGTAATATTCACACTGGCCCCACTAGCCAGAACGATCTAAACGCTGCTGCTGAAGAAATTTCGAAAGCGAAGAAGAAGAGCAGTCCGCCCAAGAAGAATAAAGGCTCTAGGACTGCCAGAAAATCCAAGAAAGGCCGCCCGGCTAAGAATAAAACTCCGAAGAAGGCTCGGAGAGCACCTTCGAAGTCCCCATTTGTGCCTAACAAAGCAGATGCTGACCAGGAGGGTTCCGCAGTGGAGGATAGTGACTCGAAAAGTGAGCTAAATCCTCGTTGTGGCCTGAGTAAAAGGAGCTATTATACTGACCCTCAGATCAGATCGTAAGAAACAAAGTGACCAGGAGGCATGGGACGTAGATTCTATTCTCGATGATGACGCCACTGAGTACCTGCCGGAGGATGACCAGTTGGAAGAAGAAGAGGTTAGCACTTGGAGACCTTTAAGTGCTCCATTGAATCAGAGTAGTTTGCACAGCGGGAACCTCCAGCAAGCCCAACGAGGACATGGGATACGACGTCAAAAGAAGTTCAGAGGCCAGAAGTTTGAAACCACAAAGGAGGATGATGTTGACACGACTCCGACCAAATCGAAAGCCTCTGGACAGCGGACTAAAGCTCAGGCTTACTGTCGAAAGCAGCCAGGGACATACCCTCGTTTATGATTTTGTATCAAGACGGAACGATGCTCAATGGAGAATGGATTCACCCTGCAGCTATCGGGGCCTACAAATATGTACAGCCATGTTCATGTGTCCCAATCTCATTTATCTCTCCAAAAATGTTGATTTTGACCGGGTTCTACAGTTACTGATCTTGCACAGCAAAGGACAAGCAGGTTATAACAACGTGCCAAAGGTTTATCATTAAACCTGGAAGCCTTTCGCTATTTGTGACAATCTGGGATTCCTTTGTCGTATGATGTATCACACTGTTCTACCACGGTTACTCGTTCTGATATTCATTCTATGGTCTTGAGAAGTTCTTTGTTTCAGATTAACAGCAACATCTTCTCCCTGATAAGAGATGTGTCCTGTCTTTTATCTGTTTGTACATCTTTCCACAAATCGGTGCTTGTTTTCTCTGCCGCGCCTGGGCAGATATCTTAAACTTTCAAAATAATAACACATAGGGCGATGGCTTTGCTAGCCTTGCTTGATATCCGAGCTGCATAATGGGAATCTTTGCTTACCGTTGTACAAATCTTGTATAGTTGAGGTCAGTATGGTTGGTTTAACTATAATTACACCAAGAGGGATGGGGTTGAACCTGTCATACGGTCGAAAATGGCTTTATATAATACAAGTACTCATCCTGGGTATTCTCTAGCACATATAACCATAGGTGTAGAGAGTAGGGCTTCCGATCCGCTTAGAGTCGGTGGGTTTGCACGCAGCATTCAATCCGAGAGCAGATGGATATCAGTTTATCTGCAGCTCTAGTGGAGGTAGCTAAGCCGCTATTACAACGTATGACTGGCCGTATCTCACTCTCGGAACGGATAGTAGGTCCTTGTTGCCATTTAAGCCGACGACCTTTAACCGCACAACAAGTAACTGCCGGGAGCTATGTTTGGAAGGATGGAGGGCTGAAAGAGGACTGAGTAAGACCATTAAATCCTAACTCTAAGATGTCTAAAGTGCTGATGTTTATTTTTGGTATCGTATTCATCTAGAAAACAGCCTCGTCATTATTATCCTCGTCATCGTCGACGTCCATATCGTCCTCGTCGTCCTCGTCAAGGCCCTCGAAACTCATGAATTGTTCATTCTTGGCGTCGGTCTCCTCCTCAACCACAACGCCATCTTGGACCTCACAGTCCTAGGAAATTTGGTCAGCAGTCGATTTGATTTGCGGGTATGATTCGTACGCACCTTGAGAACGGACTCTCGCCCGACCTGGCTGTATCTACCCACTGAAACAATATCAGTCCATTAACTCGGCTGCTTTCTCTTTTTTAATTGCAAGCAACTTACCGATGCATCCTGTGAGTACACACTTTGGCCCGATGACCGCATTGTCCATAATTACACATCTAAATCAGATTAGAGACTGTATAGCGTTAGGATATAGGTGGAGTATAGAACGCCTACCTCGTCAAGCGCGCACCGCTGCAAATCTTTGCATTAGGCGAAATGCACGATTCTTTGATAACACACTTTTCCTCCACCTTTCAAAATATTAGTTGAACCCATTCAATAAATAAAAGGCAAAGTGTCTTACCGTCACATTGGATCCTAGTAAGCAGTCACCTTTGGTGACAATAGACTTTGACGCAATTCCTTCAGGAGTAGCAATCTTCGAGGCATGACTGAAAGGCGAAGCAGCAGCACGGCCAACCTCGTCAACAGACTCGAGCTTGGCGAGACGCAGTGACATCGCTAACACCAAAGCGGAACTGTCAACGCGCCGAACGAGTTGCTCAGACGACTTGGTCATGTATGCTAGAATCGATGGCACTTCCACCGAGGACTGGGCATTCGGGGTGGACTTTGCAGACCGGACCTCGGAACCCTGGGCGTGGGTAGTGGTCATGCCGCGAAGATCGATCTCTTCCTCCAATAAATCGCCGTCATTGCTTCCGTGATCCTCTTGGTTCTCATTCTGTCCGCCCAATATCTTATTAATCCCGAGCTTCTCACTCAGTCCGCGCTGCCACTCCGCTTTCGCCCAGTACCCAATCAAGTCTTCACTAACGGATTCAAACCGCTCCTGGTACTGGGCAAGCGATTGGACCCACTTAGGCAGAATGTATAAGTGTGCATCTCGATAGCTGGTTAACATTTTAACCGAGGCATGCTTCTCAACCAAGGTATGACGGAGTAAAAAGGCCTTGTCTTCTTCTATCTGCTCTTTCAATGTATCCATCGGCATCGACAAAACCAGTTTCGAGAGTTTATATCGCGAGACAGCTGGGACCTCATCTTGCTCGAGAGAGGTGATTGCCATGAAATCTGTCGGCTCTTTCTTGACCTCGTCCTTAATGCCTTTCGCAGGATAGAACACGGACAAGCCTCCTTGGGAAGCTGGTCCCAATTCACCTTGTGAGACTAACCATGCCTCAAGAAGATGTTCACCGGGGATATCGCACAGTAGATCGCAGCTTAGGAGCAGGAAATTGGACCGAATACAAGCTTGGACCTCTGGTAGTCGGAGTAATTCCGCTGTTCCTGTCGTCATCTTGAGATCCTTCGGGGCTATAACGGTAGGTGACGGTGAAGGGAGCGACGTAAGATAAGGGTTTTGTTGTAGAGCGGCCTTAAGAGGAGTAAGAGCGGAGGGAGGTGTAATCAGTATGATATCTAAACAGTCAGAAATTATGCTAAAACTGCAGAATACAATACCCTGAAGAAGGCGCGCAGCCACTACTCACCGGTTATCCCTGCGCGCTTGCACCAGTCCAGCGGGTAGTACACCATCGGCCTTAGCTGAACATCAATTGATGTTAGTTACTTCTTGCCATTGGAGCCGCCTCTGTGATTCGCCAACACATACTGCTATGGGAATTAAACATTTTGGATTCTCTTCCGGGTTGGAGGAAATCGTATTCAAGCTCTCACCGGGACCACAAAGGATCAAAGCTTGGAAACCACTGCTTGGTACTGGCGTTGAATGCACCATTTTGTCTTTGAGCCCCGCGGGCAATGGTGGGGTGAAAGAATTGGGATAAATTCGGCCGGTGCGGCTCGGAGAAGGCGTTTCGGAATGGCTTCGGTGATCAAGAAGTAAACGGAAAAGCACCGTATGACAAGATGCCGCAGTTATCCTTGATTCTCTTGCCACAAAAATGAGAGTCGCGAAACCACCAGCAATAGCTTGTCATTCCACTCGCGATAACTGCGGAGGTTTTTCTTCGGAGAGCTGCACGTGACGATAGGTGAGTCAGGTACCGCTGTCATCAAGCAAACAGTGCAAATTACCAGGGCCCTAGCTTCCTCACCGCCCTGTAGATTCCTTTGTTGATTGATAGTATCTAATGTCAGTTGGAGTCTCCAACAGCTAATGGGCGGTCTTACTTGCTGTAAGGGGCAAGTGATGCTATTAACCCGAACACATATTAATAAATCTCGTTCAAAATACAATGCATGTTTTCCTATTGTACAATATAAAAGTAGAGATTATAACACATTCAAGAATGATCCGAACATTCGTTAGTATACCATGGTATTTTAAAGAGGCTGGCTAGGCCAGTAACGACCCGTCCCATTTTCAGCGGTGCGAAAACCCACTCAAAGCTTACGAGGACCATGAGCAGCCGCACCGGACATTGCCTGGCCACGGGCCTTGACTGCCATCTGCAGAAGCTTGGCCGTCCTCGACGGGTGCCAGACCCGGCTTCCGAGAACCAGAACCCAGGTCAGAAGGAACAAGCTTCCAGCTTGATGGGCAGAGGCAAGAGGGGTGGGAACAAGATAGAGCAGTGTGGAGATACCCAGGCCGACCTGGCAGAACGCAAAGGCAACAACTCCGTGCACACCCTTCTTAGCAGCAGGTGGGAGAAGTCGCTTCATGGTAGGGGACCGACGAGTGTATGCCCACAAAGCCATAATGGTAGTGAAGGTGGACATAGCCAAGATACGATGATCCAGTTGAACAAGGGACGGGTTTTCAAGCATATTCCTCCACCACAGGTCAGATCTGTCTTCATGACGTGAATACCTTGCGTCGAAGAGCTCCGACTTGGGCGGAGCCAGTCCTTGGCCCATAGTGGGAAACTCGTTGTAGATGAGGCCTGCATCCAGACCAGCAACCAGAGCACCAGACATGGCCGTCACGAAAACAAGAGCGGCCAAACCGGCAACTGAGCGACGGAAGATCTTGAGTTTGGGGTCACGGAGCGAGTCCAGCAACTTGATGCCAGCCTCAGGATCGGCCAACAGGCGGCGTGAGCGGAGTATAGCAAGACCGTTCCAAAGCATTGCAACATAGCAGACAAATGCAGCTCCAAGGTGCGCCGTCAAACGGTACTGGCTCACCCGGGGGTGGCTGCCGGGTGCAAAGAGATCATCCTTGAGACCGGACTTGACCATCCACCAACCGATAAAACCTTGGAAACCAATCAAGCCAGCAATACCACCAAGCCGCAATGCCATTGGCTTGCTAACCTTCTTGCGAGCTACGAAATAGAGAGCCGGAAGCACGAACGACAGACCAACAAATCGACCCCAAAGACGGTGAATCCATTCCATGTAGTAGATCGACTTAAATTCAGAGAGGGTCATGTGCGGGTTCAACAATTTAAATTCAGGAGATGCGCGATACTTTGCGAACTCAGACTCCCAGTCTTCTGCGTTCATAGGGGGAAGAGATCCGGTAACGGGACGCCATTCTGTGATACTCAGGCTAACCAGTTGACTGTCAGTATTCTTATCAGGATACTTCTTTAGGGGGGGAGCGCACCCAGATTCTGTCAATCTGGTGAGACCACCAAAAACCACAATACCAAAGACGCTAGCCGCACTGCCTAGTAGCCAGTATGCCACCGTCTTGTCGCTGACTTTAGGAAAGCTAGATTTCGCATTGGATGCCCCTTCCTCCACAGCATTTGCTACTGCGGAACCTGAGGCCGACCTTTTGAAGATGTTTGGAATTGCGGTTTTCGTTCTTGAAAATAAAGCAGGCGAATTAAGCTTGCTGGTATTCTGAGTAAAGGGCGAGACAGCGAGATTCTTACGGAAAGCGGATTTCGTCGCATAATTCTGGCTTCGCCCTAGACATTGACGGCAGGTGAAGATTTCCTTGGATAGCCGGGGAGTAAAACTCCGCATGAGAGACACGGAGCTCCCCAAGGAAGCCATAATGAGGGGTTATGGCAGCAATTGATGTTTGGAGAAATTGTCTGATCTTGCGAGACAAATAAATTGCGGGAAGTTGCGGACAGACGAGAGGCCGAGACCCCGAGGGGCGCGAACCAATCATGGTGGCATGATTTCATCGTCTGTTGACGTTCAGTGATTTTCTAACAATTTCTTATGCAATATTAAGATTGATGATTCGTTATTTGAATGATGCATGCATTGCGCGCTCCTCTAGCTGCTGCTGAGGTTTAACATACACAGTTTTCCATCGAATTGATCCAGCAAAGGGGTTGTGTCCGAATATGTGCCTCAACTACAGTATACTAGTAGGAAAAGTGTACGAATCGAACCATCAATTCTCCCAACTGCATTTAGAACACTATATGAACAGTTATTGATGTGGCAAATAACATTACTACACATTCTTTAGAGAATATCGAATGCCGCAGAGAATATGTTGAAAACCCTGTCACTGATCTGGAAATTTATAACATTCGTTGTCCTGAGGCACCTAGTAGATAAGTGCCTATCTGGGTTTAGCGCCGTTAGCTCCGATCATCTCTTAGAATGGGATCGCCAACCAACACAACAGCTCCAAGGTCATTCTCTATTCACCTACAAAGGACGTCCCGCGCACGTCTAAGAATATGTCGTATGCTGTGGAAACTAAGAAGCGCAAGTTTCATCGAGTTTTGGAATCATTGACGAAGCCTTCGAATGCCGAATCCTCGACCAAGCCTACCCCCGCGGCAACTACAGCAAAAACAGCAGCAATTACAAATGAGCGAATCTCTGCGGATTTGGCAGCGAAAAAGGCTCGCTTGAGTGATCGTCAGGATGGAACTGATCTTGCATCTGTGCGAAAAACGGTTTTGAGGGTTGCTCGTTCAAGCTCTCGAGATTCGTTAGTGTCGTCCTCCTCGCGGCCGAGTTACGTCCCTTGGGATCGCGAGCGTTTTCTAGAAAGACTGGAGACATTTCGCCGGGTTGATCGATGGTCACCGAAACCGTCGGCGATAAACGAGTTGGAATGGGCTAAGCGTGGCTGGATCTGTACAGATGTGTCGCGAGTGGCATGCGTAGGAGGGTGTGGCGGTTCCGTTGTCGTCAAACTGCCAGATGAGCTCGATGAGCTCGATGGGTATGACAGTGAAAAGGTACAAGAGAGGAAGGAAGTTCGTAAGTTGCGACTGCGTTATTTCATCTTGGATTTATGGTGAACATACCGTACTAATTGTGGTATAGGCGCCAAACTCGTCGAAGAATATACTACTCTGCTAGTGCAAGGGCATGGCGAGAATTGTCCATGGCGAAACAAGGGCTGCGATGGTTTGTCCTCACAATGCAAATTGTAAGACTCCCGACTGACTTGCTTAATAGCTACGATCCATCGTTTGGCCTTATCCAACCCCGATACAGCAATCTCTGGTCTCCGGACACGCTATCTGAACATCGCTAAGATGGCCGACCAGCTACCATCTCAAGAAATCATCCAGACCCCTGAGCCATTTGACCTCGAGACCATAATCAAGATACTGCCAAATGATTTCGAGAGAATCGAGGAGCATACCGAGATAGCTGTGCCGCAAACTCCTCAACGCGTCGATGAAAACCAACTGGATTCCGTTCAAAGTCTATCTGCGCGAGAAACCCCGATTAACCGGACAGCTTTTGCGCTTGCCTTCTTTGGGTGGGACTCCGTCGCAGATGGTGCGGCAGGTTTGGCAGGCTGTGGTGCCTGCTTCCGGCGCTTGGGTCTCTGGATGTACAAACCGAAGGACAACGGGGATATGTCTGTCTACGATGCACTTGACGTTGCTACCGAGCACATGGACTACTGCCCATGGGTCAGCGGCAAGGCTCAGAGTGGTACCGGAAAGCCATCTGAGAAGTCAGCCGAGCTACGCAGTGGATGGGAACTCCTGGCTCAAGCGCTCAAAGTGAAACATCGCCGACATATTAGATCCACGGTGTCTGTAGATAGCCGTGCTGTTTCCGAAACTCCCTCGGCGGATGGTCTGGCGGTTGACGAAGAAAACAGTGAAGCCAAAAAGGCTAGCGACCGCGAATGGTGGGCAAAGCTGCGACGGATGAGACAAGTACTGAATGTCAAGTCTCCAAAGAAACCAACTGCGCCATAACTTTGTTCTTCATTGTTTCTCGGGTCTGCTTTAGTTATGCGAGCGTGGCGTTACGGGCATTGATATTCACGCGTTAATGTCTATTTGTATAGTACCTAAACATACCATAGAGCGAGTTATTTTATTGCTCAATTATATCTTGCATGACAATGCGCTAAACCTTTGTGCTGGTCCGCCAGTCTTGACTCTCTGTCTTGACACCCTACTTACAGCGGCGTATGTCATACAAAGTCGAAAGAAAGATATGAAGGAAAGCCGATGGTTACTCCATCAAGCCTGTTACTCCATGATCCGAGTCATTTCAAGCACGTAGAACGATGTCTCTCCTTTTTTTCTTTTAGCTTGATCATAAGGTTTCGCCAGCCCCCGTTTTGATATGGGCAAGAACGAGGTAATATACAACGCACATATAGCGCTACCTTTCCTTCGATATTCGATGCACGCTACCTTTCATGGAGACTTCCGGTGACACTGTCACGATGAACAAAGACAATGATGTGCTCAAGATGATCGACTCCCGGATGCGGTCAAAGGAAACCCAGTTTGCGCAACGCAGGCTTAACCATAACCAGGGTCAGGAAAGAGCGCATCGTCGCAAGCTGTTCCTTTGACTCTCGCTTTAGACAAGTTCCATTGATAACCATGAATCTTCCAAAGTGTCGAGAAATAACAACCACCCGAACTGCGCGTCATGGCTGATGAGAATCCGCAAGCGCAAGGTGCGGAAGGCGGAGGCAGTAAGGGTAGGAGGAGCAGTATGTACGATCCTGCACGGGACTCTTGGGAGGCTCAGCAATCATCGGCCGTACCATCAACACAACCGCAACCTGCTCAATCCGTTTCAGCTCTGGATAATCCACCGGCGCAAGAGTCTTTTCCTTCGGTAAGTGTCTTGTGTTATGTCTTGCGAGGATTATTTCCTGCCTTTTTGAAATCCCTCAATGCCCGCCTAGTTTATGCCCATCTGCAGTGCATTTGCATGCCGATCCATGATTTCAACTTAAGAATTTTTTCAGAGAAATTTAATTCACTTTGTCAAGCTTTTGCGACTCACTCAAAATAAGCTCAACCTCCCCTTGCTAATAAGACTGGCTTTATATCAGGTTCTCGGTGAACCTTCCCCGACGACGCAGTCCGCGGTGCGAAACACAACGTCCGCTCATCAAGAACAAATTTCTCGCGATCTACTCCCACTATCAATCGAATCCGAGAACACAGGGCAGAAACCATCGCGATTGTCAGACGCATACATATCACCTAGCAACTCCATAATGTCTAGCCCACAAGCAGCCAGTCCAGCCCCGGAGTCTACCGAGACTCACAATGGAGCTCTTGCCTCTCCTACGGTAGCTAGCCTGAAAACAATAGATATACGGTAGCGAAGCAGAAACTGATAGAGAAACAGGCTGTACAGGAGGAGCCAAGACCTGGGTATTCCAAGCGCAGGCGTCTCCAAGAACGACATCAACAACTACGAAAGCGTGGCAGAACACCCCCGTCAGCTTACGCTCGTCGCGACATGAATGAGACGGCGCAGCAGTCCAACCGTAATGAATCGTCAAACAGATCTCCCTCACCCCTCGCTCCACCGCGTTCTCCATCGCCCGATGCACAGGCGCGCAAGCGCAAGCGCCCTGGCGGTGGTGCCCGGAAGGGATTGGTTGATCGCGAAACTCTGCGTCGGAAACAGGAAGAAAAAGAGCGCGCCGAGCAAGAGGAAGCCATGCGATTTTCTCAGAATCGTGGGGTGACTGACATTGTCCGTCACCACTACAATGCTGTACCCCAGCGCGGAAGAGAGTGGCGAAAGACCGAGAGTAAGATTAAAGGCCTACGAAGCTTCAACAACTGGATCAAAAGCACTCTCATTCAGAAGTTCTCACCCGATGAGGAGTTCGTGTCTAGGTCCATTGGCACCAAGGACTGGGCTGATGACACCGCCCCGCCCTCCATGGAACATAAACGTCTGTTGGTTGTAGATCTGGGGTGTGGCAAGGGGGGTGACTTGGGCAAGTGGCAACTAGCTCCTCAACCCGTGGACCTCTATGTTGGGCTGGATCCAGCCGAGATTTCTATCGTCCAAGCGCGCGAGCGTTACAACGGTATGCGGACTGGGCGTGGGCCAAGGGGGCGACGTGGGCCTCTCTTCCATGCCGAGTTCGCTCCTAAGGATTGCTTTGGGGAGTATCTGGGGGATGTCCCTATTGTTCAACAAGTAGGCATTGACCCCAATGCCGGGCCAGGTGGATCGGTGATGAGTTCACGCTGGGGCGGCGGTGGTTTCGATGTGGTAGCATCTATGTTCACGATTCATTACGCATTTGAAAGCGAGGAGAAAGCAAGACAGATGCTGCGCAATGTAGCTGGGTGTCTTAAGAAGGGCGGCCGATTCCTGGGAGTTTGCCCCAATTCGGACGTCATCAGTGCACGAGTAGCGGAGATGAATGCGAAGCGCAAGGAGCGCGAGACTGCAGCAAAGAAAGAGGAGGAGGAGGCAGAGCCTGAGGATGGAGAGGTTGAAGAGGACGATAATAAGATTGAATGGGGCAATTCAATCTACAGAGTTCGATTCTCGGGTGATACTCCTGAAGATGGAATCTTCCGGCCTCCTTTCGGATGGAAATACAGCTATTTCATGGAAGAGGCCGTGGAAGAAATCCCGGAGTATGTTGTGCCTTGGGAAGCTTTTCGAGCGTAAGTTTAGCCTGCCAGTCCCACTATCACAGTACCGTTACAATAGACTGACTGTCTTAGATTAACGGAGGATTACAACCTCGAGCTCCAGTATCGGAAACCATTCTTGGAGGTCTGGGAAGACGAGAAAGACGATCAAGAGCTGGGTCCCTTGAGTGAACGCATGGGCGTTAGGGATCGAAACACCGGCGCCCTACTCATGACCGAAGAAGAGAAGGAGGCAGCCAGTGAGTATTCATCGTCGTCAGGAATGATATGCTTGCTAACATGGACAAGGTTTCTATCACGCATTCTGCTTTTACAAAGTCTAGTTTTCCTAGATGTGTATACACTTCGACCGTCTATCAACCCAATTTCTCTCCAAGCTCTTTGGCGCATATGGTACATGTCACTCAATCACTAGCTCACATTGCTATGTACCATTAGACTCCACAATAAGCCCAAACCGAGGCGATGACATATATAATAAATAAATTCAATGATACGATACCCACCGTCAAGTAACCACCCGTAGACCCGGGCAACCTCTACCTTATCCCCCAAGCCAGACACCTCCAGGCTCAGCTAAGTAGTAGAAAGATGTATAACCTAAACGGGCCTAGCGCCGTCGCGTCGCGTGTATAATCTCTTATCAACCAAGCCATCACTCCAATACCGATTGCTCCCCACCAAAAACAGCAGGACAAACGTCCTCGTTCTCCAATCCACCTCAAAAAGACGAAGTCGCACATCGCCCAGAACCCAACTCCAAGTGCGCCACCAACTTTCCCCACCCAGAAAACGCACCTACCGACAATTCACCGACGATAACCACCACCAAAACCAAAGAAACGACCAAGACCCCGAAAAAGAAAATAAAAAGAAAAGACAAGAAAAGAAAGGAAAAGAAAATGACAACCCCAAGTTCATCACGACACCGATCCCGTCACTTAAGCAGCAGCGCCCAACGCCAAACCCAAACCCCAAGCCACCGACCCCGAGCTACAACACCCCCACTCCCAGCCTACGAAACGCCAATCGCACCCTTGCACACCACAGCCCAAAACAAGCTCCTATCACTCCTTAAATCGCAGTCGCTGCGATCATTGAAGACGCATCTCCAGCATGCGGAGGAGAAACTGACTGATTCGGCTGGGGAGGTTAATGAGCGGCTTACTGATGCGCGGGTGCGGTTGCAACGGTTGAAGGAGCGGAGAGGGAAGAGGGAGGATTTTGATGAGAGGGAGGAGGATGGGGTACAGCAACAGCAGGAGGATACTGATGATTGGGAGGAGAGGTTGAGGGAGTTGGAAGGGAGGGTTGGGGGTGTTACGGAACGGTTGGAGACGCGGATGCGGGGGACGATTGATGGGGAGGTTAGGGTTGATGGGTTGGTTGGGGTTCTTGGGACGGTTGAGAGGGAAGTTGAGCAGGAGGGTAGTTCTGGGAGGAGTATGAGGAGGAGGACTAGACGGCGAGGTGCGGAGGAAGAAGATGACGAGGATGATGAGGATTACGAGGAGACGGAGAGGGAGGACGAAAGTGTGCCGCCGTCGAGGAGGTTGGATGAGTTACTTGGGGAGAATTATGTAGAGTGGGATGAGCTTTCTTTGACGCAGAGGTATGTATATGTTCTATCATTGGTTTTATTTGATTTTGAGGCTGATTGGGATGTTTTGTGCGCCAGGTACTCGTCCAATAATGCCTACATTGGGTTCTATCGGATTATTCACGAAGCGAAACACCCCGGCGAAGATATTCCTCCTCTACCGCATGCATCAACGTGGTTCACACATCTTGAAGATCCAACTACGGCTTCGGCGCAAACGCCCGATTCCTCGGTCCGGCGCACACGTCGTCGGAGATCGCCATCTCCGGCGGACTCGGATGAGATCGCCATCGAGAGCGAGCGCATATCGCTCAAGTGCCCCCTTACTTTACTTTACTTCCAGGACCCTGTGACAAGTACCAAATGTCCGCATAGCTTTGAACGCGAAGCGATTGAAGATATGATTGCGCATAGTTCGACGACTGTTCCCGCGCCCCAGCCGGCGGGAGCCGCCGGCCGCAGCGCACGTCGTGTTCGCTCCGTTAAGTGTCCGGTGTGCTCGGTTGTCTTGACTGCAGCTGATCTCCGGTCGGATCCTGTTTTGGTTAGGAGGGTGCGCCGGTATGAAGCAGCGTTGAGACGGGAAGCGGAAGATGATGAGTTATCCGACGGGGCGCGGAGGAGACGGTCTGGGGCGAGGAAAAGTGGGATCACTCTCGTTGATGATGATGGGGCCGAGGACGAAAATGAGATGGATGTGGATCCGGATGAGAATTCGGATTCAGATCGTAGGCAGGATGAGGAAAGTTTCGGCAGTCAAGCTCATGTACGAATCAAACAGGAGATGAGTACAGCTCCTGTCGATGATGATTAGTTGATGATAATTTCGAATAATACCTCTGTAAATTCAATAGATACCGGACAGCGTTGCTCGCGTTTCAAACAAAGTTCTAGTTTGTTATTCAACTAACCTCTTCTGAGAATCGATAATATTGATTGACCCGGGATTAACCATGCCTGGCAATTGGAACTGCTTCCCGGTCCTGGAGTACATACAACACCCGCTGTGAAAGCTAGAGTATAAACCATGATCTCCGCCTGTCCCACGAAAGGTGACATGAGATAACAGAAAACCAAGTAAACTCCAGTACGCCCGCAGTAAAAATACTAACATCAGAAGAAGAAGAAGAAGAAGAAGAAAAGCCAGAATAAAAAAAAAAGGACCGCACTAACAGGGGTATTTTCCAAGGGGCTATTGTTCTGCCTCAAAAGTCGTCATAGGACACACAGATTTGTTCCTAACAACGTGCTGATATCCTCGATGCGTATCCGATACACAGCTCGCTAAAAGACTTCCAGCTGAACAACAAGTTGTGGGGTATTCTATTAACACGGAGCTCTAGAGCGACTAGAACTGGATGATTCTGCTGCGGTCGCATCGTATTCCGGATGCCGCACTTCCCAGAGTCAAAAGGAAGCAAAAGTCCTTGGGTCCGATAGTGCAAGAAGATCGGTGATTCAATCATTAGAAGTCGACACATTCGAGCGAAACTCAATATGTTTCTTTCTCTACACCAAGCGACTCTTGAACTGTCGTCCGATTAATAAATGTTAACTCGTTTACTTCGTAATGAGGTTGAGATAATCAGCCACGATAAGCGTGACCATCCTAAAGTGGGTCCGTGGGGTTAGTGATAAGCACTTAAGTAAAAAACGGCGCGGAGAGTGGGGAGACTAACGCATGGGGTGCGATCCGCACATAGTACGTCCCGAATCCGCGGTAAAACCTCAACCAACCCTCATCCTTGGCAACTTTGCGAGCACAATCCAGCACACCCTTGTACGGCACCTGGCCGGTCTTAGGGTCTTTCTGCTGCTTCTGCAGGCGAGTCTTGATGAAGTCGAAGGGTAAAGAAAGGAAGCTGGCAAAGAAACCAGCGATCGCGGAAGCAGCAAAAGTCTGGTTTTGAGCCGACAAGGACGTATGGGCCTTCAGCTGAGCCTTAGATTCAGCGAAGAAGGTCAATTGACCAACATTGAGAGCCATGGCCCGCACAACGGTCGGCAAAGCCCCTGCCCACAAGGCTGGGATGCCCTCATTCTTGGAGATGCGAAAGAGTGCATCCACCACCGAACGGTAGTTTGCTCGCGCTTCTGGGGGCTTCAAGCCATCGGACTGCATGCGCACAAGGGCCAAATCAGCCGGATTACCAATCATAGCAGCAACTCCACCAGCGGTGAGACCCGCACCGGCGCGCTCCGCGAAAGTGACCTTTCTATTTGCGGCTTCGGCGCGTTTATTGAGCGTTTTGCTAAAAGTATCGAAGAAACCCAGACGGGCAGTAGTGTAGACAGCCTGGCGGAGTAAGCCTGCCGACAGGCCAGTATAGAGATCAAGGATCTTTCCGCCGGCAATGATGTCACGGGCAACGCCGAACGCGGTCGGGCGAGGGCCGGTTCGTACACCCTCCCCTGCCAACTGAAGGCGCACCTTGATCATGTCAATTGGCTGGATGACGGTGGTCGCTGTCATACCCGCTAGGCCACCATTAATGAAAGGAAGGGCCGCGCGGGTGTAGGGGTGGTGTAGAAAGTCCATCGCGGCCTGAGATTCTTTGGTAGTTGGAGAAGCCATTTTGTTGATCACAAAAAGGAATTACAATAAGCCTGGAAGGTCAGCACACCGTTGTGATACCTGGTGGGAATTTAAGCAGGGGATGGTAAGAGTAATGAGAGCAGAGCATGTGTGACCATCCACTAGCCGATGGTAGAAGTAATCAGGAGACGTTACGCAAGCGCGACTGGAGACGTATGACGGTGAGGAGAAAAAGAGTTGATGAAGCTTACCAGCGAAGGATACGGTAGTATATAGCAGGATACTACACGAGAAAACACGAAAAGAGGGGAAGAGGAGGAACAGAAACAGATCCGAAAATAGAATCCGACGTGGACGAGAAAAAGCAGGGAGAGTAAGTGAGGGGAAAGAAAAGAGACCGACTGAAATAGAAGGAAACAGTGAAGTGAGTTCTGGTAGCCAGTCAGATGATGAAGCGTGACACTGCGGGGGATTGAACAGCACATGTACAGTCAAGAAGTTTGGTTCAGTGCTAGAGGAGATTCTCGGGTTATAAGTTTTTCTGGTGTAAAAATTAACAAGGAAAGCATGATTTAGGAACCGACCTTATTTCCGAACCAAGCACGGTAAAGGCAAATGGTGATACATTAGAGAACGAAACGAAGCTGACTAGCAAGTAAGTAGTAGTACTTTCTCACGTAGCGATCTTCGCTGGATAATACATAAGGAGGTCCCCACAATCTAAGCATGTCTCCGGTCCCTCTGGTACCTCTCCATACACGTCATAGTACTAATCAAAGCTCTAGAGTGAGGATTAACCTATGCGTCAAGCCGCCACGAATGCGGGGAACATTCATGTTGCTAAGACTCCGGGGGCAACAATATCTTCATTAAATCGTATACTCTTTTTCTTCTTTTTTTTTTTTTTGTTTTTGAACTGGATTTCTGGTCAGGAGATATAATCTGGATATCATGATCTAGAATACAAAAATGATGACAGTTCCCCTCTTTCTCAGCCAAAGTATATTCACTCGAACCATAGCCATAGTCATGGAATAGTACTACGTATGTACTAGTACAAGCTCCACTGCATGTCACGTTCTATGCAAGTGGGGGTCGTAATATTACCGTACCGATGCTTCACTCGGGGAAAGAACTAGTCCGTTTGTGGTTCCACGATAACCCGATCGATTTTCCGATACCTGATCAATCTATGAGAATACTATCTATTTGCACGAAGACCAAAATGCATTTTCTAATCAGCGAGTAATTATGTAAAAGGTACAAATACTTAACTGTACATTTTGATAATTATATATAAATTGAACAAGCCAAATGCACATACAATTCATATACATATGTGCGCATGTACTTGTACAGGCGAACTTCAAACAAATACCACTCCATCCACCCGAGCCAGGCGTACCCGAGGATATGATAAATACTAGGTGGTAAGATCGACTGTATGACTGAGTAATTTTCTTCCGCCGTGCTGGCTCGGGTGACTCCCCGGGACCCAATCGGAGCATCGCAATTACTGAGGTCTTGAATCTATGATGGGAGTGTGTCTGCCCGGAATTTGTAGGGGCGGCGCATGTATCTTCATACCGACTTCTAGTCATAGGCCTGTTTGTGGTCTGGTTTAAAGACTGTTCTGAATATAGTTATTCTGTTTGATTTCGCAATTTCATTAATATACATCGCAATAACAACTGAAAACATATCTTTATCTCCATTCACCCACACAAGTCCTAGTCCTTTCCTCCGAGAGATACCCGGGGCCCGATAACCGGCACTTACTATACACATTAAGGCAAGTAGAAAGAAAATTGATTAAATAGGATTAGGTTCCTTTACGAGTCCGCAATAAGGCAGTATATTGCACGACACATGGAATCCGGACAACTGTTCTCCGGTATAGATGGGATGCTCATTAGGAGTTAGTGATAACTGCATCGCGTACCACAGTACGGGCGTCCAGTTTCTCAAAAGTCTTCACTGGTATACTGTACAATAAATGGTCCCATTGTACATGCACTTCCTGGCGGGATAGCTTGGTACACTCCGAGAAGAAAGTGTACTACTATGTAGAACTGCCAGTATCGAATCGAATTAATACCCCTGATATGATCTATGACTGGGTATAGGGAGTACTTTCTATTGGTCAATAGTTACCAAACCGCTAAATGACAAAAGATCGACTCCTGTATTGTGGGCTGTATGAAATCGGAAAATATCGTTCACGTGGTCAGGTGGTGCAGATACAAGTTAACACATCCTACCTGGAAACACTAATAGAGAATACTGTACACACCTCAACAGGCCATGATACAGTCAGCCCAGTCCAATTCTAAATGATCAGCCCCCAACAAATCCACGGAGCCATAGCCGCGGAAAACATTCCGGCAAAGAGATGCCCAACGGCTTAGGTCGTCGGACTACCAAGCACGACTCATCATAGTCAGGGTCCTCTCAGTTCTGACTCGGGCCAGAATCGGGAGTCCCAGGCGGAAGCTGGACGGGAGGCGGGAAGGAAAGGGGTGGGAAGTCGGTAATGAGTTGTTCTCCACCCGCTTAACTACGAGGTCAGTGTGCCGATAGAGTATCCGGAGCTCTTATCGTGGGTGCCTATCGAACTGTCATCTAAACCTTGTGGGGAGCTAGGGCTTTGGCAAATCATCGAATTGCCGATTCTCGCTGTTTCTATCGGAGGTTTAATCACGTTGGTTATCAAGAAGCCATCGTTGGTTGATTACGGTCGTGGGTGATTATTGGATTTCTTGGTGACCTTATGTTGAGGCTCTACGCCGGTCTTTTCTGCAACTTGCATTGCAATCGTAGAGCTGGACCTCCTGAGAATGGACCGTTGGGAGTGGGTTGGAGATATTCTTGGATCCTAAGACTCATGGCAATGCTGCCGCATAGAAGAGTCCTAAACGAGGATAATAACACGAAGACTTTATCCAAGTGCCCCCGATAAATTAGCCCCGGCACTGAAGAAGGATAGGAAAAGGAGGAAAAGGAGTTGTTAATCTGCTTGCAATCATTTTCACGAGCTTTACAGAGATTCGTGAAGATACCCCCAACAAGAAACCAATTGAACAGGTCCCATCGCATTATCTATCGAGCCTTGCAATGGCTACGTTGAGGCCTTGAACAGAAGCTGCCTCCGGTAGTCTCCACTCGGAGCTATCACCATCTCCTTTACAAGTTTTCATGGCTCGGTATGGGAAACTTGCTAATTCTGCTGCCAAGCGAGTTATATACGATTCCCGTGGAAGCTGTATCCCTATCTCAGAGACTGTGAAAGTGAATTACCATAACCACTGCTTAAACTGCTCGATCAGGCAAATTGACCACCGTGGAAAACATGCGGACGATTGGGATTTGTGTTTACTATATCTCAATTCCCTTGTGTAAAATATACGCTCTGGCCTGTTAACTACAAATTGTGTTAGTATGGCCCTGTATCTGAATCACCTATCAACCTTCGAGGATCTTCGGTTGAAGGATATCCTACTAACAAATATCATCATCGCCTTCGAGTTTTATAATGCTACGATCCGGGGGATACTTGCCTCGGCCAACTAATGTGCATTGCAAGGACGCTTCACTGAATCATTCCAAGCACTGATTTTTGGTATGCAATATGTAAAGGGTCTTTGACCTGGGCAACAACCTCCAACAACGTTAACCTTGACCTGTTTCTGCTCGAACGAAAGGCCTAGGTTTCCAGTACTAAATGCATGCAATTGAATCAATCAGAATTCTTTCATCAATAATCAGTTGACCGATACATAAAAGTAACAACCCCATATCCCCTCAATTACGATCAACTGCTATCTATAACGACAAGCCAGATAATCATGAGCGCGAGGGCCACCATTAGATTGACCAAATGTAACTACATATATGATAGCCAGGCACCGCAGGGCACTATTTTGGCTTAGACGATTGGTATTAGTGGACACTTGATGGCTGGTCACGTTTTGGCTGATATTATTATGTGCAGACTTGGTATTGCAACTAAATCATTCGAGGATAGTGTAAGTACGCTGAGGCTGTTATGTAGATCGACCACTCGTCTCTTGATATTGAACAGGTTTATCTGAAACCCTATTATCACGAAAGGGATCCGATACCATGTCCAGTTCCTTACTTTTGCGCGTCGAGCCTTGTACCAAACGCTGTGAGAAACTCTGTTCGATTTAGTAAGTACGAGCGAGCTTTAATGCTGGATGGGCCTGCAAGCGGAGGTAACATACCGCCGAATTCAACTTGACCGTTGCCGTCAACGTCCAGCTTTCTGACCCAGTCTACGGCCTCTTCGTCGGTTATCTTCAAGCCCTTCTCTTTTGCATATCTAAGGTACTCCCAGGGATCGATATGGCCTAGTTGGTATAATGCGTGAGATATTGGAAGCAGCAGTACTGAGGAACGAACTTACTATCATAGTTGGTGTTCTATCATATTAGTTGAAATTAGCAGAGTTTATACAGATCGACCGCATGCACTCACAATCTTATGGAATTCCTCCTTCCACTTCTCTATCTCTTCACGGGAGTAGATAGGCTATCGTATCGGTGATGTTAGTACAAGGCAGAAATTATGGAGAGCCGAGCAACTCACCATTTTGTAGTTTGCTCAAAGGTTCTTGTTTCACTTGTAGAATTGGGAGTTTGCACTAGGATCTGGGTTGACTTTGCGAGACGAGGCAGGTTAAATAGCCAGGTTTCGATAGTTGGGGGTTTCACGCTCCAGTTTGCCATAGTGGGGATGGCTGTGCTCAGCTCAGCTGTAGTGAGGGGTACATGCATACAGTAGCAGATGTTTAAATCAACAAAAGTAGCGGTCAATCAAAGAATTCATGCAGGTGGTTCAGAATAACATCATTGCCCCACCATTTGGGTAGAAGGAGATTTGGTCCTATGTTGAAATGCAATGTGGCATGCGATGTGAGTCTCAAGTGGCTATAAGAGTGGTGGCACAAAGTTGCCATTATCAGAGCCCAAGAGAATGTCGAAAGTGATCCCAATATCTACTCCTTAGCACAAGGATGTTCCGAAACGGGCCCCACAGAAACACTCCCAAGTGCAGCCAGCTACAAATCATAGCACGCCACGCAAGAACCGGGCAGTCATTCATGCATCTGCCCAGGCCTAAATATGCAGCCACAGACATTGATCAGATCTCGCCAATTTTACGCAGCAATCAATCAACGTCACTCGGATATTGTTTCCACGCCTAGTCCGATCTCCTACTTCAATAGGGAAGATAGAAGGTGGGGGTACACAAAACTTTGTATGGTTCTTCACGTTGCCCAATGCTACCATAGCCACGTCAGCCATTCATCCAAAGAAGCTAGGGGAATATTCGAAGTGATTACAAGGGCAGATTGTTGATAAGCGCTACTATACCAACCACTCAATCTGACCAAAGGTAGCCAAGGTGAACTCTTCTTATTTATCTTGAGATATAACCAACAAAACGTAAGTGCTTCAATGGGCCAATCTAGCAACACATCAAGCATTTGCACTAGCATAACTGGGCACCGCACATGCTAACTCTGCCCGATAATCTTTGCCGTAAGAGCACTGGCAAGGTATACTATTTTGTGTGTGTGTGTGTGTGTGTGTGTGTGTGTGTGTGTGTGTGTGTTGGTTCACTTCAACTTGACGGTGTAAACTAGGTGGGAATACGCGCAATGCAATAACTTGCTATTATCTGCAGCTAAGTGACTCGCCAATAGAAGCTTTTACTAATCTGTTTCTACACAACATTGAAATGAAGTTTCACAGTATGCTTCGAACTTGATTTTCTCCGCTCATTTGGATATGGAGGCAAGCAGGTGATGCTCTGCTCTTGCACATGCGCGAGATATCAACTTCTTAAATCATACCACTACTTGTATTCCTCGCTTGGTTGCTCCACATAGTGAGTGATATCACAGGTATTACTACATGGCTCTGGCGACGGAACTACATCAATGATATGAATGCTTTAACATGCAGAATGCAGTGCCTTCTGCATCGAGAAATGCGTGTTGAAATTTATAGACTATGATGTACTCGCCTAAAGTGCTTGCTGGTGTGCACGATGACATGCGATGTTCGGACGATTACAGATCATTCCAGCTACAAGTGCTCTGTACGTTTCTTCTTACGGATAGCTGATTACGGAGTAGAAACGCATGGAGAGGTGGAGAAAAAAAATTAAAAGAGAATTGGTGAAGGATCCACTAAGATAGAACTGATGAGCCGGATTGGTTCCTGAGCTGGTGGGGTCAGTTAGCTCAGATCTGAGTAAATCTTTCGTATTTTATTTATTTTCTTTTTAATTTTTGGAAAACCACTTGAGAGTTGTTAGGCTGTTGATATACTTTCTCTTCTTAGAGGCGGTAAAGAGGAATGAGGATGAAAAAGCCCTACGAGAAAAGGTGGGCATGCATATGTTTAAGTCTAGAATATAATTTCATTCCGTTTTATTTCACAGGTACTATGGACCAGTCTGGATAGCCAAACCCATATTCAATCATAAAGGAAAAAGTATAACCGAACAGAATGCGAAATGGTATGACCCAGCTTGTCTTGTCAAGCTTTTTGAAATGACCCAAAGAATAGAACGCGACACGCCATGCAATATAGAAAAGCAAAAGGGAATCAGTTGACAAAGGAAATCAAACAAAAGTCGCAAACATTTTATGCCAGCACTGGACCAGCCTCGATGACCTCCTTGGTTGCCTGGTCGGCGTACTTGGTGAAGTTCTCGTTGAACAGCTTGGCGAGCTTGTTAACCTCATCCTTGAAGCTGGTGGATGCAGTCCAGCTGTTCTTGGGGTTCAGAAGCTCAGAGGGAACATTGGGGCAGCTCTTGGGCACGTGGAGGTTGAAAACATCGTAGACCTCATACTCGGCATTGGCCAGCTCACCGCTGTGGATGGCGTCCAAGATTGCACGGGTGTACTTGAGAGGGCAACGCTTACCGCCAGTAGTGGCGCCAGCGCCAACCCAGCCGGTGTTGAGCAACCAAGCATTGGCCTTGTGCTGCGAGATCTTCTCAGCCAGCATAGTAGCGTAGCGCATGGGGTGGAGAGCCAAGAAAGGCTGGGCGAAGCAAGAGGAGAAAGTGGCCTGGGGCTCAGTCACACCGTCCTCAGTACCGGCCATCTTGGAGGTGTAACCAGAGATGAAGTGGAACATAGTCTGCTCGGTGGTGAGCTTCGAGATCGGAGGCAGGACACCGCGAGCGTCACAAGTAAGGAGGATAATGTTTGTAGGGTGCTTGTCAGAGATGCAAGGAATCTTGGCGTTATCGATGTACTCAATGGGGTAAGCACAGCGGGTGTTCTCAGTCAAAGTCGAGTCATCGTAGTTGACAACACGGCTGATGGGGTCGAAAACAACGTTCTCAAGGACGGATCCGAAGCGGATGGCGTTGAAAATATCGGGCTCCTTCTCGGCAGAGAGACCAATGCACTTGGCGTAGCAACCACCCTCAATGTTGAAGACACCACGGTCGGTCCAGCAGTGCTCGTCGTCGCCAATCAGGGCACGGTTAGGGTCGGCAGAAAGAGTAGTCTTGCCAGTTCCAGAAAGACCGAAGAAAACGGTAACATCACCATTCTTGCCCTCGTTGGCAGAAGAGTGGAGGGTTAGGACATTGTGCTTGACGGGCATCTCGTAGAACAGGACGGTGAAAACACCCTTCTTCATCTCTCCAGCATACTCGGTACCCAGGATAACCATCTCCTTCTCCGCGAAGTTGATGGCGACAGAGGTAGCAGAGGTCATACCCTCAGTGAAACGGTTGGCAGGGAAAGAGCCGGCGTTGTAGATGACATAGTCGGGGTGGAAGTGCTTGAGCTCCTCTTGGGAAGGGCGGATAAGCATGTTCCTCATGAAGAGGGCATGGTAGGCACGAGCACAGACAACACGGACACTGATGCGGTATCTCTCATCCCAGCCGGCGAAACCATCAATGACATAGATACGGTTGCGAGTGTTAAGGTAGTCGACAGCACGCTCACGGTTGATACGCCAGACCTGTCAGACGGATTAGCTAATCAGCCCTATACGGATGACGTCATATATTGTGACACGGCGTTTTGAGGCAGATGCATGTAGCCAGCGCATAAAAGCGCGCAACAGTGACACAAGCAAGGGCCGGAGTATTAGACTACCACACGACATGCATAAAAATGCCTCATAATATTATTGAGGTATTTTAGTTTGTCTCGCAGCATTCCTATCTCCACATCCCAAGAAAAGCTTGGCCTCTCGGCCACGCAAAACACCAGCGATCTGCACTAGGACAAAGCAAGGGGTAAAATGCGCGATATACGCGCGCATAAAGATTGGAGTAAAACTTACATCGGGAGTCATAGGCTTGTTCACGGGTCCCCACCAAATATCCTGCTCAGAAGATTCCTCCTTCACAATACGCTTATCTGAAGGGGAACGACCAGTTTTGGCGCCGGAGTAGGCAGTCAGGGCACCTGACGATGTGATGGCAGTACCAGTCTCGTATACAAGAGCATCTTCGTAGAGAGCAGCGACGGCAGGGTTAGCGATCTATTGAACGTTAGCGACAGCTACTTGGATGTATACATCAAGTAGGGCGGCATCATACAATAGCGACACGCTCATAATCAATGTGGGCGTGCTCGTGAAGCTCTTCCTCCAGCTCGGTGTGACCCTTGCCAGGCCTAGTTGATAGATGTTAGCCATGACTCCCGTACTAGGCAAGAGTTGTTGATGGGAGGTCAGAGGCCTGAGGTAGGCCAGTCCGACCTGGCCAGGATACAGGACAGTGAACTAAGGAAAGAGGGAGACGTACTGGACACCACCAGGGTGCAGAGCAGTGCGATTCACAGATGTGGCAACCATGGTTTTTAATGATGTTGAGTGATAGTTATTATTGCGCTGCTTTGCGACTTGTTGTTGGAAGAAATCTGTGTAGAGAGGACCTGGTTCTACTGGGGAAGCACGGGGTATATTAATGTTTTCAGCAGGAGCCATAATCACAGCAAAAGTAAGTCCAGAAAGCGTTTCAGTCTTCAACTCCGATATGCTTCTCCACAGTTTGACGGGAGATGTCGGGGCTGAGGACCGGGCTGAGGCAGCGTTGGTAACCGTGGAGAGTGTAAAATGCCTCTTGTGGGTTCTCCGACTTGTTCCGAACCCCAGATATAGGCACGAAGTGGTTCCGGGAAGACGGGTCGGGTGCACCAACTAAAAGCAAGAAAATGCGATTTTCGGAATGAAAGTAAAGGGGTGTCTCTAGCTGATGATAACGCGCGGATGGTATCCAGTCAAGAAATGTCTCATGCAGGAGCGAGCTGCAGGTGTAATGAATTTTAGTGCGTGGGTGTGGGTGCCCAGGCGCAGGAATGCAAACTATGCTTAGGACAGGCTGAAAGTACCGCTGCAAACGACAGCTCGACCACTAATTATTTATGTTCTTACATTCATTTGCCATTACACAATCCTCAAAGTATGTTCGGTCAGTATTTACTTTCACTACATAGAAATTGATCAATCAGTCCTCAGGGTTTATGCGGGCAGAGGGAAAAGTCAGTGAAGTGGTGACGTTGAATGATCTCAGTCTACTCTTTTTGTTCTACTTTGTTTGGGTCAAGCGGCCAAGACCCAAATTGCGGGGAGGACATTTTCGGCTAGACCTTTTGCTGCCGGACCGGGGGAGCTCGAGACCACATGGGTGCAAGCAAACGCTCTAGAAGTGTAACGACAATGTCGAAATGCCCAGTGGCGCAGTATCGCCCCCGAAAGAGTGCCTATCTTTAGCCCCTCTTCAGGGTAAGAATCAATAGAAGCCAATAATCACTTCATCCTAAACAAATGAGACGTGCTCATGACGAAATCCCGGCTGAAGTCTCGGGTTCCCGTTCATCATTTTTAATGACGCTTTCCTCCTTTAGGCATGCTGTTAGTCATTCGTCTCCCGAGGCTAACCGTCACCAACCAATCAGAGGTCGCTCCTCTGTCTGATTTTCAATCCAACGTCACAATGTGGGCAGAAGATATTGCCGCGGTTTTCGCTCAGAAGGAGAAGAGGGTAGGCAGTCATTGTAGGTGAAATTTGTTTTGAATACCATAGCAAAATACCTGCTCCTAGCATGGCAATATTACCCCTTTTCAAAAAAAAATATTATCCAGTATGAATTTTGCATGATTCAAATTCTATCCTGGACCCATATTCCAGGGATGAGTTCCTGGAAGAGGCTCTGCATAATAGTTGATATTATCCACGAAAAAAGCACATGAAAACCTGATCGCCCAGGAACTTCCGAGTTCCCCCCAAAACTTTCCGAGACACTACGTACTGGTCAGGCGCCCCTGGTCATTTCCCACGCGACGTCAAGTGATAAGCGCTTTTCGGCCAAGAATTTACCAGTGTCGACTGACTCGGCCCAATGACGGTGTAGACCTACTAAGGACACATGCCGGTAATCGATAGTACACTACCGCCTCCCTACCACTAGGTTTCTTTTGTTATCTTACCTTCGTCTATACCCCGCATCCGAAACGCCTGGGCCACAACGGATCTCTTCCGGGCGCTAATCCTCCCCTGGAAATGGACAACATTCTCGGCTACAACGAACCCAGGCAACATTGCACACGACCAGATCAATGTTCAGATTTGACGGATATTGATTCTTTCAATTCATGTAAAAAAGCCATGGCTAGAACTACCAGGCTTCATATTGTGGAGATCCACAAATCGGGTAAGTTAGGAACATCAACTATTCCAAAAACAAGGCTCTATCACATTTCGGCCCAGGCTCTGCAGTTGGGTCGGGAAGTGGGTACGGAGGGTTCCTAATACGGAAGATTTAGGAAGGAGTCCGCCGTGAAGACACAAAAATCGACACCTCTTACATAGTTCTAGGGGTAATTACTAAAAAAGTGGAAAATGCCTCATAGTAGTCGATTCAGGAGTGGTCTGGACAGAGTCTGAACAACCACAAGTAAAAAGTAAACAGGTGCATGCTGTCACTGACTTCGTAAACATTCATCCCTGCGATAGGGTGGAATGTGATAATAATCGCAGGCTTACCACCAATGAGGGTACCTATCTCACTGATGAGTGAACATAGATGGCTGCCGTTGAATTCTACATGTCACGCAGCCCTACTCGTGTACATTCGTTAGACTTGGCCAGAATCAGTTGGGTAAAGATGGTAATGGGCGGTGTGATCAGTCCTGAAGTCAACAACTGGATGTAGTACCTATGAAACATCCCCTATTGGTGCCGAACTGTAACGGTCCCTGACGACGGTGCCTGAGGCAGAATGATTCACTCTGGCATCACGTGGATGCGGAGATTTTCTTTTGAATGCCAAGGGAGACCCCTGTCTAAAAATATCGAAGGGCTATCATTGGTCATATTAGGTGTCCTCCTCCAAAAATCAATACTCATGATATCTACAGTTTTATTCGGTTTCTAATTCAGAGGGAAAGAGCGTAATCATTGATACTCAACCATCATAGATTAAACGACATTTACTATGTTCTTTACGGAGTGCTTTCTGGAGAACTCCTGTTCCTAACCGTTAGCCCCACAGTATCTTGATCTGAACTCCGCTCAAGGCACTAGCGGTTGATCTTTTTCTCACGGACATCCATGACCCGCGGCGGAACAATGGGCACGCTCTTGGATGCTTTGGGGCAATCAATAAGTCCTCGTATGCAGATTTGGCGCCGGTACATATGGCATTTTCTTGTGCTCTACGTAATACTGCTGGGTGTAGTGTTTCTAACCCTTGCGTCAAAGCTGAATGGGGAAGACCCTGTAACAGTGCGAGGTGCGATCTACTGCTATCAAGCATGTATAACGTCACTAACGCTGATTAGAGAAGATTCATGGTCCTTATGACCCACTACCATTGACAATATCCAAAGCACTGGTTTTGGCTAAAGTACGAGAAGAAAATGTATCCTGGGTGAACGATCTTCAGCCTCAGTTAGCATTAACTATTTCCTATTGCCGGAACCTGAACTGATAATCTTTGAAACAGATGGTTACCATATATCTACACTGCTGATAATGAGCCTGGATATTTTCCGGTTCCGGAGAATAAAGGGCGCGAGGGCATGGCGTATTTAACGCACATTATTGACAATTACGATACCTTGACTGATATCACAGTTTTCATGCACGCATCAGCTACACAATGGCATAATGACATTGGCGACACAAATTCGTCTAACGTTCTATCTATGCTGCGCCTCGAGGCGGTAAAGCAGAGAGGGTATGTGAACCTTCGTTGCCAGCATCGTCCGGGCTGTCCAACCGCAGTCCGTCCTTTCGACCCCGAGCTCCTTTCAAGCCCAAGCATTGTATACCGTAATTTCACCACTATCTACACTGAAATCTTCAACACATCAATTGAAACCGTACCAAAGGAGATTGGTGGAGTGTGCTGTGGTCAGTTCGGCCTCACTAGAGAACGGATACGCCAGCGACGACGAGAGGACTATGTGCACATGCGGGATTGGGCTTTCTCTACGAGTCTGGATAACTTTACAGTTGGGTCTGTGTTCGAAATGCTCTGGCATATGGTCTTCTTAGAAGACCCAGTTTCGTGAGCATCGCCCGTGCTTGGTATTATTCGCAATGAGCTGACTCGAAATCTAGATGCCCAGATACCCAGCAGTGCTATTGTGAACTTTACGGTCTGTGTAATGAGTAATGATATATATTCTTTCGTCCTTGATCATTATGATATACGTCCAAATACGTTTCTATGAAGAATGCCTCACTTGCCAGCGTCCTAAATCACGCATCTTGCATGATCCACTAATGACCGGTTCTATGCCCCTCTGATCCATTTAAGACATGGATCTTCGATCCTGTACTCAATGCATTATCACATGCATGATTCAATGCACCAATCGAATCCAATACAAAAGCATATTGTCATCCATCATTATCAAACGCAAAAAGGAGAGCTATTATCATATTACTGCCCAATACGATCACCCCTCAGTACCCCTGTATTTCACCCACAGGAATGTTACGATACACGCATCCCGAAGGATCAATCCCGATCCGAAAACAGGGATCGGGTTCATTATCCGCGTTCGACCCTAATCCTCCCGATAGAGCACTCAAGATACAAAAGATATTTCCGGATCGGAAGTTTGACAGGCGCCTGGTGGCGAATGTAACCGATCACATAGATAGGTCTATTAATTCCGAGTACTAAGTAGTCCGTGGCTTAAGAGGGGCTGTTCTATTTATTGTTGTGCTTTTTATGTGTTCGGTTTAGATTGAGGTGCCTTGGTGGGTTAAGTGGATTTCCTGGATAAGTAATCTGTTTACTTCCTGAAGTATGTATATGGTTGAACCTTGGCTTTACCTGAAGATTATATTTTTGACCGTGCAGAAAAAATTATATAGCAGATTATATGCTTGTTAGTATAGGATAGTACACTATTAATCGTGTCTTTATTTATTTAGTTTAGAAATATAAAAATCCTCTGTTTAATGAAGTGATAAGCTAAAGAGCCCCTCAACTCCCACCACAAAACTATATATCTTATCACTGCAACTCAACTACATATAGCCAAACCACCACAAAACATCCAAAATAACGTATAACAAAAGTCACCCATAGATTCAAACCAACCTACCAAGTCCTATGTAGATAGCCTCCAAATGACCGCACCTAATCCTAGCGAATAACAACCTAGGTTATGCGTTGTTCAACCTCGTGATAGGTTCACACCACCCAAAAGCGGGGCAGAGAAAAAGCACAACCCAACCCATGGCGGGGTAATTCAGTCTCAAATCACCACTCGCCTATTTCCCATTACTCACTCGCTTTTCTCACTTTCTTCACTCTACTCCTCATTACCTGATTCTTTTTATTTTTTTGCACAAGGTCCCCAGCAACAACAACCTAGCTCGGTAAGATTAACCATTACTTCTGCATGATGTTAATTAACGGCTTTTTGCTTGGGGGAAGAGAGTGACGCTAATGTTTACATCTGTGTTGTAGTTCCTGTCTTCTCGATTTTCATCGATCTATAATCAAAATGGCTCACTCTACTTGCCCTTCCTGCAACGCTCCCATTCCTGGTGAGAACAAGACTTGCACCGCTTGTGGAAAGGTATGGCTGTTTCCTTGTTCTTGGGGTGGGGTTTGAGGTAGATGCTAACGTTGGTGATGCGTGTTTAGACTTGCCCTGTTTAAGCGGTTGTTTTTGGGTGGAGTTTATGATGGTGGAATGTTGTTGGTGGAGTTTGGTTTTTGCTGAGATGGGTTAGGGCATATTTGGATGATTGATGATGATCTATGAATGTGTTGATGAGTGAATAATATTACTGGTTTAGTTTCGAGGTATGGTTTTGAATTATTGTGCGTAGTTCATTATTTTTTTTGGGTGAGTAGATTGTGCTGTGCTATGCTTATTCTATGTCTTTCTATACTATATCTCTTGTGTCAACTGCTCGGTCTATCATCTGTATTGTGTTCCGTGACTCCGGTCGGTCATCGTCTGTGCTGGCGCCGTCTTCACTTCTTCTGAGGATCACTGCTGTGTCGTCTTCTGGTTGGCAGTCGTCTGTCCCGTCGTCGCTTTCTGGGGGTCGTGAGAAGCGGTTGTTGACCATCACTGAGTGTCGTGCGCGATTCGCCGTGCTGTTGTTGGGGAGCGGCTCGCTATTCGAGAGAAGGAGGACTTCAACGGGGTGGTCACATATGTATGGCACGTTGCAGAGTTTGTAAAATGCGTTAAGGATAGGGACGGATAAGCCGTGAACGAGGATAGAGAAGAGAACGAGCCAGTATACGACTTCTTTTTGATTAGCAGTTGTTTACTCCCTCAGAGTTCGGACTGACTCACCGGGTGTCATGGTTGCGGTTAAGTTATTGATCTCACTGTCGCTTTCGCCGGGTTCGGGGAAAAGTCGACGGGCGTATTCTACGTATGAGATTGCGCCAATACCTGGTTATTAAAGAAAGGAGTTAATGTCTGAGATCTGCATTGGAGGCAAAAGTAGGGATATACTAACCGATCGGGCCAAAGTAACCCATGAACAAAGCTTCAGTCCAGTCATTACAGACAGCAGGTAGGAACCGGTATCCGAGTAGGATTGCTGGGATCCGACGCAGGACTAGAATCAAAAATCCCAAGCCAAATAGTCGCGGAAGTGTGATTCCAGTGTCGTGGGGCATATGAAATTGTTCCCACGGCATGACGGCCCCGAGGTACATGAAGGTGCCGAAATTCAAGAGGGTTTCGAGCGTAAGATTAAAAGTGTCATGACGAGCTTGCATCTCGGAGTTGTACATGCCATCCCAATTCAAGAAACTCCCGGCGATGAAGCATGCAAGGGTCTCGTCTGAGCCAACGCAACCGCAAGTGCCGACGACTAGCATCTTTCAAAAGTTAGGCATGGTTAACGGCTAGATATGTAGAACTCACGCCAATAGCCATCGGTACAAGAGAGAGGCTCTCGTTCTCGATCCATCTCCTAGTGAAAGTTGGCAAAAATTCTTTAAAACAATAGACGCTCACATACCTCTTCAGGGCTATGATCAATAGTTTGCGAGACACAAACCCTATCAGAGCACCATATGTAGCTCCTAAGATGATCATGTATAAGACGCCTTCCACAAACCAGTGCTTCAATGCCTTGCCAACACCTCCGCCAAAGCGACCGACATCAGAGGCGCCGAGCACGTCTGGGATTCCTCGAACTAGATCAAATTCCTTTAAACTTTCGGTATTTACAGGAGTCTCAGCGTACCGTAAGAGCGAGACGGCTAGTAAGAGAAAGGTAAACCCGAACCCATCATTTGCACCAGCCTCGGAAGAAATGAATTCACGGAGATGCCGACGGACGTACTTGTCGGCAAATGAACCTTTGGCAATTGCTTGCGATAGAACAGGATCAGTGCATATTACGCATGAGCCGATGATCAGCGCGGCGAGCTGTACCAGAGCATTGTGTATCAGTACTGAAGTTTTTGACGTAGAAAATTCATTAACAGGGACAGCACATACAAATGAGATGTTAGGAACCATGAGCATGATGCATGAAGATGATATAACCCACCCTATCCCCATGAGGGGAAGTAAACAGATGGTAAGTTCGATGAAGCGCTGCTTGATATATCGCTTTGGCAATTGGTATCCGACTTTAACTAATTGGATCCCGATAACCAAGCGCGTCAAGGCCTGTTTCCATCAGATATATCCTTCATAGCGCTGCGTAGTAGACTTTACATATGTGATTTCACTGCGCTCTTCAGCTTCCTCTCCTCCCCATTGTGAAATATTTAGAAACTTGGTGCCGAAAGGTCCAAAAGAGATGCCAACAAGAAATGCGGGGACTGTGTAAGGTTAGCTATTATCGATACTACAGTAGCAATGCTACAGTACGTACGGGCTTCACCCAAGTACCATCTTTGCTTGAATTGTAGAGATATATAGCCGAAAAGAAGGATATAGAGGCCTTGGTAGATTATGAGCTGTTTATTACCAAGCCACCTCTCAGAGCGATTTGGACATACTTAAAACAGTAAGAACAATATTAAAATTGCTAATATCAAGAATTGGGTGTAACATTCTGCACCGTTCCGAGCAACAGTATGAGTTGTGTAAATTGACAGTTGCAGCCAAGGAGTACCTCTTAAGGCTCTTAAGTTGAGCGCAAGATACCCCTGGAATTCCCTAGGCTGCTGGAAGCGTGGTAGTGAATGCCACTAAGCGCGTAGATTGATCACGACAGGCTTTCATGTTGCGAGGAAGGAAAAACCAATTATTTTGTACAGGCGCTTCCAACGTATCATCATATCTCCGGGTTATGATGTAGAGTTAGAGCAATAATGATCAACAATCACCAGCGCGAATCACATTATCTGTTCTAGTCGCTATCCATCCTTCTGCACTTGTCTCGAAACATACAACTCAGGGGCTTGCGTAGCCGAGTGGACCATTTACGCACACCCTTGCAGGGGGCATTGCGGCGCGAGAAAGCTTGGCTAGACATATTGACGGTGATCGACGCGATCTGACTTCTGATCGGCAACAGGGATAATGAGGTAGCCATCTAGAGTCAGGGGATCGTCCAATAGTGTGACGCCGATAGCGCCATACCAGACATGTTTCAATATTTCTGTAATAGGCCGAGGCAAAATTGGTGATAGCCACCCAGCCCCCTTGGATGTATCACATTGCAACACAACAAAACGATAGATGTCGCATATAACTGAAAGATATTACTCTTTGTCTGGATATTCGAGCGATGATAAGATGAGATTGAATATAGAATGGATCTTACATTACTTTAGCTCTGATGTTGCGATGGGCATTCTTAGGTATACAGAATATGAAGTCTAACACTGAGGGCTACTTGACGCTGACTCAGCCGTGGATACCTTGATAACCAGGTAGAAACGGTCGGAGCAAGAGGAGAAACAACATATCGATGAGTAATGTCGTGAGCTATCTCTTGTTGATTGAACTGCACAAGTCCTAGCGCTGTCATCCATAGCGATTTATTTCCCCATAAAAGTTGTAGAAAGCTTTGCTTGTAAGGTTGCGAACGGTGTCGTTGAGTGAGCATGCACAAGTAGTGAGCGCAACAGCTGTGCGGCACATTGTATGTCGAAGTTGCTTTCCCTTTTGCGCAAGCGTAGTCGAATTCTCGAGGCTGCAACCGCGCTTGTGTGAAGCACAATCTCTAATGGGCTCGATAGTGCTCAGCTCCCTAGTGCGCGTTGACGAAGTTCGCCAGGGCATTATGAACAGCATAGAACGCACCCTTGGGCTTGTAGCACTCGGTGAACATCAATGGCTTCGCGCCCGGTATCCAGGTATAGGCGTGCTTATCCGTGAAGCCCCAGAAGCTAATATCGGTAATTCCTGCATGTAGAGCCTCTTCGATGACAGCACCGTAAATATCGGTTTGGAGTGTGGCGTTAAGTGTGTGGACATCCAATTCAGCGATGGTCACTTCTAAACCAAGTGCTTTGTAGGAGTTGACCATATCCGTAATCACACCTGGTATCGGGGCAACTTCGGTGATATGCATTTGTAGGGCGACTCCGTCAATCGGCACACCGTCCGCCACAAGTCCAGAGACTAGGTCGTAGAGCTCCTGACGCTTGCTGGGGAGTGACTCAACAAGATTCTCATTAATAAACAACTTAGCGTCCGGGCCTGCTGCACGGGCGATGCGGAAGGCATCTGCAATATAGCCGGAACCGAGTACATTGTAGAAGATATTAGTGTTCAGGCCGCTGCCGTTCGTCTTGAGAGCTTCAGTAACGACGTCCCACCGATCCACACGCTTGTCGTTGTACCGGTGCATAAACGCCTCAAAGTGAGCCGTCATTGCCGCACGGAGGGCTGTGGGATCAGTGATATTGAGAATATAGTCAGGGTTACAGCAGCTCGAGATAAGCCCGTGTCCTTTAACCACCATATTGTAGTCTTCCGCGAAGTTGACAAGGCGGTCGAGCGAGGTCCAGTTATAGTACCCTTCGGTCGGGTTAAAAAAAGACCACTTCCCTTCATTTTCGGGAGAGAGGCTGTTGAACTGCAGGGCGAGGACAGCCGCGAAATGAGGATCATTGAGGTAGGTCGGATTGATGGCCCCAGACCCGATGATAATGTCTTTCTTAGCCGCTTCCTGCTTCAGCGAGGTGGTTCCGGTCCTGGGGATCTGGACTGCTTCAGCAGCGGCGAGAAGCGCGATGATGAGTGTTGCGACCTTCATGGTTCTGCCTGACGAACTGTTCTCTGTCTCTTAGAACTCAATGGTGAGTGATTTGGGACTGCCATCTCGACATCGTTGGGGTTTTAATAGTCCGTGGCGAGAAGATCCTGAAGTAGAGTCCGGGGTGGTGTCATCACCTCCGTGGACAACCCATGCCTCTAGTCTCGTACTTTAGGGGGGATATAGATCCCGCTGTTTGTAGTCTTCGTAGGGAACGAAGAATAAGAACGCGAGAATACGAGAACACGAGAATACGAAAAAACGAGAATGGGAACGAAAAAGTGGGAACGGTTCGCAGAGCGGTGGCTGCGCCCTGGCTGTATATCCAACGGCCGCTAGGGCAACATGCTACTACAGTACAACACGCCCTCAGGTAATTCCAGTTGGGGAGACATGGAAGGGCATTGTGATTCTTGTCCGAGGTATAGTAGGTCATCACTTGTAATGTTTTAATTTCTCTCAATATGCTTTGTATGGATGCCAAGGTAGCTGACGACAACAGCATTGTTGAGACAGACTAATAAGAGCTGGGTAAGTCATGGCATCTGCATGTGCGAAGTATTTGGGATGATAACCCACATAATACCAGTACCTCTCTAACACACTCGTACTTCCAGGGTAGCTTTCTTTCTTTCTTTCTTTTTTTCCATTCTTTTAATTATTTGATACGAATACGAGTGGGTCTGAAGATCTTGGAGAAAGTTGAGGTCATAGTCTGATATTACCAGTAGCGCCAGTGGTCCACTAAATCGTACCCATTGTCGAGATCATTAGGCTCTTCCGGCCAGAGAAATCATCTATGGGTGTCTATTTAGGCTTTACTGTATTATGTGGGTAATGACTCTCAGAATAAGGCAAACGCCATTGTGAACGAAAAATCAACGAAGCAAGCCTAAGGAACTCCTTGTAGTCTGGTGGTTCTTGACAGAACTATATCCTAGTGAATGTGTTATGGTGCAAAACTGAGATGGCTTCCGTTCACGATGATACTTAAAAGCAACGCCACAAAGGTACTCTGACCTAGTAGTGCGCAGGGGACTTTGGGACCTAGGCTCAGTGGGCCTCCTATAACCCATCGAATGTATCGAGTCCTTCTATGATTGCGGGTCTGTCGCCACTGGAATCTGCTACCATGAGATTGCGTGCGACCAACCAAACAGCAGGTGCCGGTTATAAGGCTCCAAAAGAGCCGTGCTTTGTATAATTGACGTTTCTACGCTAATTGCTATGTTCATTTTTGCGGTAGCTTGCAAAGCACTATATAAATTACAGAAGGTCCATCCAGCGAATATGTTCTGGCTATCCATCCTTACTCACTCTGAGAAGTTTTTCTTTCAGTAGTGACTATCATGATGGTGTCTTTTGTTCATGCTCCTCTTTACCTCACTTGCTGCAGTCAAAGTAGCATGGGGTCCGTTGCCCAGAATCAGACATCCTACAATCCGGCTATACCTGGTTGGCATAGTGATCCTAGCTGCGTTCTTGTACGTGAATGGAACAATACCACGTTCTGCACCGCATCGACCTTCTGACACCAGGGCTGTCTGTCTACGCCAGCAAAGATCTCGTTACTTGGAAATTGGCCAGCCACGCCTTGTCTCGGGAAAGCCAATTTCCCGGATTCAACCAATCTCTCGCCCAAAGCGATGGGATATGAGCCCCAACGATCCGATACTATCAAGGGTTCTTCTACATTCATGTAATTTATAAGAACAATGCCCTGAACAATATCACTGGCTTAGTCTTCAAGACACCAGACCCTTACAGTGACAGTGCATGCAGTGACCCAGTTCATTATGATCCTGTATCTATCAATCCAGATCTCTCTTGGGGCGATGATGACGTCGTATACATTGCCACTGCTGGTACCTACCTTCAGACAATCGATCTCAAAGCCGGCACTGTAGGTCAACCTCAGCAGATCTGGAACGGCACAACCGGCATCTTTCTCGAAGGACCATATCTCTACAAGAAGGATGGATACTATTTCCTTATGACAGCAGAAGGTAGCTCTGGAATGAATCATTCGGTCACAATTGCTCACTCGCATAAGATCTGGGGTCCCTATGAGAGCTGCCCCCAAGACCCCGTCTTGACGAATAGGAATACCTCCGAATATTTTCAAAATATCGGCCATGCAGACTTGTTCCATGATGCAAAGAGGCCAGTGGTGGTCGTCTGCACTGGTTTGGCGCTCGGGGCCAGAAGGGCTGACATACCCAATGGGCCGAGAGATGGTGTTCACCCCTGTGACCTGGAAAGAGGGTGAATGGCCGGTCTTCTCACCCGTCCGTGGTATGGCAAGTGGGTGGTATTTACCTTGCTCCAAGGATGTTGGTGCGACGCAGGCCATTTTAGGTTGATTCTTGGATATCTGTGAAGGAGGATGTTACACCTCATAAGTAAATTTTCACTTATTGCGCGAGATTTCATGGTAGGGAAGCTGGGAACACCTATACATCTTGAGTAATATCCTAAGCTTAGCCTTGATTTAGGTAACTGGCCTTTTAACTACGAAAAATCACTGACATAGTTATTGTTAAACCTAAATTATTTGAGTTATTGAGTTTTTCAGTAGCTGTATGGAACGGTTCTTTGAACTTAGGGCTTCTAGATTAGATAACCATTTGATAACTCAATATCTTTTCTAATAAAATATTAATATGTGGATAATTTCTTCATAGACCACAGTTGCTGTTATGTTCTGATTAGAAATATATCTTGGAACTTATATTTACTACTCTGATGTTTAATCTCCTCCAATAGTACTAAATCAGAACTAGTGTATCCTTAGTACTGTATTAAGAATGTAGCTGGCTGCTGCACTTATGCTTCTTCAAGATCGGTGCTCATGGCAATAATGGATTTAACCACATTTATTCATATTTCAACCATCCACGTAGACCCCATAACTTATAGTTCCTAATGACCTGTTAGCCGCAAGGATTATATTCCTCATATACCCACCCTCGGCCGAAGATAGAGTAATTTCAGGCTGCCCTGAAGATCTTGATCGAAATCTGAAAGACAATCTTTTCATTATTTGCGCAGTTTCGTAGCTTTGGTCACTCACTAAGACTTGCTGTTTGCGACCAAGCCAGTGAGATTAAAGGTCTTCATTTACATGTTTACTTGTTGGCAAACCCAATATGTACTTTATCTGCTACACTTTCTCTCAGACAGGGAATTCCAGCCTCCGGTGTCCAGTTTATCAGTACTATTACACAATACTACGGCAATTCCGAACACTATCGGCAACAAAATTGTTGGATGAAAAGAAAAGTAGTATATCGACCCGCCAAGACTGTATATTGTCACGGAAGAAAGAAGCGCCCGTCCCAGATTTAACCGCTGCATTCAGCCACAACCGAAATCCAACATGAACACATACGCGGTACAGATTTCTGTGGACCAACACTTCTCCTAGGGTGTACGTCAAATTTCTGCGCAACAGCCTGTCGAGGCCCGAGCGCAATCTAAACTCCGGCGCAATATCGATATCGCAAGAATGGTTGCCAATGACGATTAGCAGCTTCATGTTTACTACTACCTCACACATGTCGTCCACGTCAAGAATATATCATTTCGATATAATGATGTTATTAAACGGGAAATACATGCGCAAACAGTTGATCGAGATGACTTTGAACTGAAGACGGAAGGTGTCGAGCCCTATAGGGAAACACATGACGTCGTCGACCCAGCAATTGTATTCACTCTCGACTATATGACAACATGAACGACTACCATGGGTAAGCTGCCGTTTTCGGCTTCTTAGATGAGCAGTTCTCAGTGAGATCTATGTTGGTGTTAGCAATATTTAAGCACATTCTCTCCAGTCCTTGTCCGTAAGTATTTCTTACCATAGGGTATACATCCCGCTCGCCTGGGACCAATCGAATGAAAAACCGTTACTTAAAACATATCCATTGAGTTATCCAAGATGCACACATCTATCTACCTCATTTTAAATACTCTCCTGGCCTCCAACTTGGCCGGCCAAGCCTCCGCCAGTCCGTTTCAGCCGCAGGTTGACCAAATCCGCGTCCCCGAACCCGTCAGTCCCAATACACACTGGCCCAATTTCAATGACATTATCTCCCAAGTGACCCGGCCGACCGAAAAAGAGGAAACCCTGTCAGGCCCACTGGGTCTGCGCTATGGCAGCTGCTACTACATCGAGAACCGCCAGGGTGACACTCTAGGCTCGGACGGTGGCGGCTACAGCTACTACAAATTCGGAAGCTCCAAGAGGATCTTCCAGGTGTGGTATTCCAGAGGTTTTCCCTGGAAAGATGGAAGCGAGTATCAATCAGTACCGGACGGTGGGAAATTCTACCTGTGGGATCCGAAAGGAAGCAGCGTGACCAACGGCGGGAGCTGGATTGCAACCAACCTCGGCGGCAACACTTATCCTGGATTTTACAGTTACTACTATTACCTCCGCTTCAAGGGTCGTCGTGATGATAGCCATGCAATGGAGGCTATGCCCCAGAGCGAAAACCAGATGGATCCGATCAGGGTTCGGCACCCCGTTACGTTGGAAATTGCTAAAGTCGAGCCTCCTAATGGCATTCCTAACTTTAAGGGATTGACCATTTATAACGACTACCTCCAGAATCGGAATAACGAGGATTCGGTTGATGTCCGCTTCATTGAGGTCTCCTGTCCAGTCGATGGAATTGATGACTAGAAACGATGTTGCGTACTGCGGACCTTGAGGGTCAGCTCACATGGACACTGAATGAGTGTTAATTAGCCAAGGGAGAACTATCGACTGATCATGGTGGATAGCTCTCATTTGAAGCTCGAGAGACTTTTGGGTTTTAAAAAAAATGGGAAGGGGTGATTAGTCTATCAAAAGTATGGATCTATGACGTTTAATACATGAATCAACGAACCATTCTAGTTAGAATTCTCAATAGTGTGTTGCTTTTGCTACGCAAATGCACCGAGTAGATATCATGAAGGGTGAAAACTTCTTCGCTATGTAGGCCACAGGACAACACTCGTTCGGAGTAATACCGATCCACCCGTAGGATGATGATTTGTATTCGAACCCACTTCTCAGCGCAATGTGACTGGGCAGTACTGGTGTAGCCAGACTATTTACCAATAGGCCTTATCATTCGACTCAACAATGTATCATAACTAGCGGGCATATGAATCAATCCAAGCAAACCACAAACTTCAATTGTCGACTGCCATTAGCTACCTGATCTAGCCCGAATGGGATATTCCCGTGTACTGGATTGAATGATGAGGTTGTCTAGAGACAATGTCCCTCGAGAGTTGAATGATCTTTCTGCCACGATACAATATTACTGCTGAAAGTATTGATGGCGAGGGATACTTTCACACATTTGGTACTATCGTTTAGTAGGAGGACGCGAGTTTCTATTCTAGGTACTGAATTCTGTATGGTAAGCCGAACTAGCTAGATCATAAAACGTTCCTCGCCATCCCCAGTTTATTATGCAAGCCCCGCGTTGAAAGATATGTCAGATATCTTCAATACGCTTGAATATGCAAGCTTATCAGAAAAGATACCTGCAAATACCAGCAGCTGGGAAGACGTAAGGGATAAACTTAATTGACACATACCGGAGCGGTGGAACATTGCCATTTTTAGTGCAGTAATCTCTCAACATTGCTCTTGAACCTTGAAGCTACCTGTCGGTTATTTGCTCCGTCAGTATCCCCCCATACTACTGTTTTGCTTAGTACCTACGGCGTTGAAGACCTGCCGCATGTTTATTGCCTGAATCGTAAGGCTTCAACTGTCCTTGGCGGAATCATGTGAAGTTCATGTGAAACAAAGGGATCACATGCTATAAGGGCCAGTAACAAGATTGGAAAATAAGCAAAGAAGTACGAGCACCTCAGTATTTCGTAATTTTACAACTTATACATCAACTTTAATCTCCGATAGATCAAACAGTGCTACCCCCAGTAGGAAGACTTATTGAAAGAACAGGCTAAACAAATATAATAAACTCTTAAGATACATAATATGTTCATGAAAACCGAAGACTACTATATCGCATCTCCCTTGTCGAATCCTGCCCCACAAAACGTTCACCCATATCTTGATCTTTAGTTCGTCTTTGACTCGGTTGGACCTATACACCATATCTCTTGTTCTGTGGCTGAGGTTTCACGAAGTGAAAGAAATACACAACACCCAATCAACGCAGACGTCAGCAAATGGATCAATACCACCTCAAGTCAGCCTCGTGAAATCTCAATCAGAAAATCCCCGAGCTTTGGCCGCTCACGCGGTCTTCCGCCACTGAGACACCACGCCTAGCAAACTGCTGACTGTACCTCCGATGCCAACAATTCCGTCGTCGAGGTTGGCAAGGCCCAGGCCGGAAACAGGGATAGTCATGTCGCAAAGGTCCGAGAAGAGCTGGGTGCGGGCAGCGGAACGTTCCCTGGGAAGACTGGGGTTAGCAACTGAATACAGAATTCCATAATGTTGAAGGTGCACAAACTTCTCGAGCTTCTTTGCCTCCACAACGCCTTCGCCTTCGGTGCGGTCAAGAGTCCTCTCCTTCTCCCGCAGTCTCCAAAGGGAGTATGCACTAGCAATAGCGCTAAAGATTAATCCAGCCAACCATGACCGATAGGCGGTATCCTGCAAGCGCTTAACCGCAGCAAGTTTCCGGAAGCCAATAATGTCAATAACAGTGATGGTATCCAGAGTCAGGTACCCGGCGTAACCGAGCTGGCGACCGACAGCTAGATAGCGGAGAACAGGGTCGATGGGGCTCTTGTTGTCGGCAGCAACAGCTGCAGCCTTAAGATGCTCGGCAAACTTTCCGATTCTCAAAATTTTTCTTGTTGTTCCAAATTGCTTCTTGACTGCATTGTAGGGGTCGATAGAGGACTGCGGGCGGTTTGTGCGATACAGGTACCAGGCATAAAAGCGTGAGAAGTATTGCAGCGTACGGAGGATTTTGTCACGACCCACTGTATGTTTATTAGAACTAGCTCACATGCATATATCGCAGGAAACATTTCAAGTGACAAATTTATTTACTAGCCTCCCATATCTGTGTGCAAATGGGTGGTCAAGTAGATGCAGCAACGACATGATGGGCCTCGGTCGCTAACCGCAGAAAAAGAAGAGGGAAAAGAGCACCACATACCAGTCGTTGCTACAAAGCGCAAGTAGTGCGCCAAAGTAGGATGATAAGCCAAAGCGTTAGCGACCATATTGGCAGAGAATGTTGTGTATTAATACGATCGCACGGAGAGTGTCTTTGGTATCGTTAGAAGTCGGAAGATGTGTTCCGGTGTGTTGTGGATGTAGAAGAGAGGGGTATGACGGCAGCGATAACCACAGACCAGCTGGTAGCTTTATAAATGTCGAGAGACAGGAGACGGCACTTCACAGCCAGGATACAGAAGAGGGAGAGGAAAAAGGGATGGCAGCCGCGGAGTTGGCGTGATATTGGGAGGGTTTAATGGATGGTGGTCGGTAATTGAATCTCCGGGGAAAACGCGGCTGGAGAAGCTGGCGTCGGGCATTGACCCTCAACCTCGGCTGCTCGTGGAGACGAGGAAAGTTCTCGGTCTCGGAAATTTCACGGCTTCCTTCCAACCATTGCCGGGTTCCATTGCCTTTCTAGGTAGTATCTCTGCAATAGGCAGTACTACGACTACTATGAACTCCTACTTGGTTACTTGCTTCCTCCTGTTTACTGATTTCTAATTTATTAAGTCTAGAGCAAACTCCTGGCGGATCTTTCTAGATTTTATATTTTCCTTTCTTTTCTTTCTTTACTCTTTTCTTTGTTTCCCTCTTACGATCGCTCTTTCTTCATCTCGTTCCTGTCCAGCCTTTCCCCATATCGAAGTTGGCACGATACAGGGTCAAACTAATATTGACCCTCGTGGATAAGAGTTTCTAGTACCTTTCTTGGCTTGATAAAATGCATACTTGAAAAGCTACCAGAGACAATTGCTTCAAGGATAATAGCGGGGTGCGTTGCATTGGCAGAAGGAAAAAAACATAGTAATCGTCATTAATGTTCTCCAAGATGACCATGAATCACATATAATACATCACGGGCATGACAATGAAGATGGTATATCATCAATCCGAGTCTTCGCTGCAATGGGGGTCTCTATATATCTCGCTTCTGGGCAATCGAATCATCTGCAGTCGCGGGTCGCACAGGGTCCTGTCACGCGATAGGGCATTGATATAGCCTAAAATGGGCTAGGGGAATCCTCGTTTGCTCGTGTCGTACGTACTGCTTCTGGGGCATACTGGTCACGGATGTTGCAAGGGCCGTCTGTGAAACATGTCGCAAGGAATAGCAAGGGAGCTGGCACTTGATAAGTAGGGGTCGGGCGTCGAACATACGGATTTGCAGATAGAAATGCAAATGACGAAACTCAGCTACTGTGCTTCTCTGTTGCCCATCGTCGAGGTGTCATATCCGTTGGCCTCGAGAAAAGCACGGAACTTTTCATCCTCTTCGGTAATAGTGTCCTAATCGACGAGGTAAGTCGAGCCTTTCCCATTGAGAGAAGTGGTTAGAGTGGATGCCATACCTGTCCAATATGTGGCAGCAGAAAGTAGGCCATTGCGGCGCTCAAAAGGCACAATGAGCTCGAGACGAAGAAAGGGTCTTGGCCGGAACGGACTTCATTGGGGGCGTTGTTCTGGATGATGGGAATGACATAGGTGCCGACGAACGCTCCAATCTTTCCAGCAGCCGCAGCTATGGCGTAATATTGACCTCGGATTGCAGTCGCGCTGGACTTCGCAGCACAAAGCCCGATGTTGTCTCCAGGTCCGAACTCACCGAGAGCCGAAAAAATACTATAACCATGAGTTAGGGAATGCCAGTGGTGCGGGTATAAAAAGTGACCGATCATCTTACCCGAATACTACGACAAATCCCGCAACATTTTTCGGGATACTAAGATACTCATAGCAACCTGACATAACGAAACCGATAACTCCTTGAAGACCAACCCCAATGGCTAACGTGTTGCGAGGTCCAATCCAGTCACTCACCAGGGCACCCAAGAAAGAGCCGGGGATGTAGAAGGCATTTGTTAAAGTGGTCCAGCCGAAGGTCTTCCAAAGAGGGGCGCTATCTCCGAGGATGATGCCCACCCATTTGGAGGAGTAGATGTTGAAAGAGTACGCCGAGAAATCATAGATAAACCATATGAGGGACACCACCGTCTGTCCGTAGTTAGTCTATAACCCTTATGCCGAAGTGGTAACGCTGGGAGCATACCAAACGCTTCCAGTAAAACCTATGGCGGCCGGTTTAGTACATGCACCGAATATAGATGATAGTGATGGCTTACCGGATGATCAGCCAGACAGGGAACTTATGCATACGTTCCCTGTTAAACTCCTCTGGTTCTTCCAGCTTCAATCGCAGATAAAACAAACTAAGGGGTGGGATCACGCCGAATCCCAGGGCTATACGCCAGACAGCGCGCAGATGATTCTCGGTACATATCAAGACCAAGATCATAGGAACTAAGGCGGAGACAACATATGCGAAGTCAATTTGGAAATTGGTGAACATAATGAACCACCGATTCCGATGTCCTTTCTTTAGTTCGCCTGTGTTTTCCGCAGCTGCAACGGATCCGGCTGGATATTCTCCACCAATTCCAATTCCCAGGAAGAAACGATAAGCCGTCAAGGCAGCGAACAAGCCGTATTGGCTACCATTTAATCCGTACGCACCAGCACACAAGGCACTGAATATGATCAGAATTATCGTTGAGATCATCAGTGACCATTTTCGCGACCAATGATCGCTGACATATCCAAAGACAAGCTGACCGAGTACCGTGCCAGCAAATGTAATGGAAGAGACATTCTGGCTGGCGGGGGAGTTGTTGTATGAGTCCGGGTAGATTTTACCAAGGATTGTATTAACAGATCCGATCACCTAGATCGATTGTTAGATCAGAATGATGTTTTTCAATCATGTACGACATATATTTCAATGGGCGTCAGACATACGCCATTGAGATAACCGTCTGAGAAGAGACCTGCGCCACAGGCAATGGTAGGCCAACTACGTTCCCAGCGGCCCTTTTGCATATTTTCTAATGGGGCAGCATCGATAGGAACAGCATCAGGGGAAGCAATAGCCTTCTCAGGCGGCTCTTCGGAATGTTTCTGTGGATCCATGAGCACGCTGCAGCGACACGATATTCTATTGCTTCGACGTTGCGAAAAGCTGGAGCTGGGTATCAAGGGAATTAATAAGATTATTCAAGAGATATATAAGGATAGGTTACACCACAGTAATTGTCAGCAATCACTGTGGGTTACACGAATATGGGAGAAATGATAGAGTGTTGAGAAGTGGAAGAAAAACAACCAGAGATTAGAAGTGAGAAAGAAAAAAATTGGAGGAAAGATCGAGCGCCTGATAGAAATCCTGCGAACCGTGAGCGCTCAGGTCATTTCCTTTAGTAAATGCAACTATAACTAGTTTACCACTGGTATTCCCACCCTAGAGCCCTCGGCTCGTGCCTCCTTAAGTAGTAGGCTATATTAAATCACCACCAATTTACCAACCGGCAGCCCCTCTACTATACGGAGTAGTAGGACTAACATACCTTAGTTAAATAATACCACCAGCTCACTGGACAGTTGTATAAGGGGTGGAGCCTTTATCTTTCGAGGAACTTGTTAGAATCCTCTGTTAAGAAATACACTAAGCTTTCCCAAGATTTCAAGCTGATTTGTTATTGGAGAAATACTTTTTAGTTGATCTTTTGAACGGATCCACTCCCGAGTCGAATCCTATCGAAAGGCAAACCAAGCCCTACGAAGAAGGCGCTTTCTTTCACACCTGCTATGTTACTACGCTCTTTTGGCCCCATGGCACGTGCCTGGATTCACCACTGTTCTTGTTTGTTTCTTATGATTTTGCCTTATTTGCTGCATCAAAGCCAGGACAAGCAGGGAAGACCCATGTATGCATGTCTGAAATCACTTGATCAGCTGAATACACCCTTGTGTTATAGTATCTCCCCTCCAATTTGTTTAGATCTCAAAAATAAAGAAATATGAATATGGGGCCATTCAATAATAACCCGAATAAAGAACAACGAGGGAAGAGGGAACAAGCGAGGTCACATCATTGTCTCCGACTCTCCGTCCGTGGCTCGGGTATAGGGACTAGCAAAACGCTAGACTAGCTGATATAACTCCCCGCCCCCCTCTCACCTCCTCTCCATAAAACAACGATAGGACGGCACTTGATGTTTCCCATGAAAATTTATCTAATGAAAGCTCAAATTTCCTAGGTCAATTTGAGTCACCGTGCACTATTATCTAGGCAGGAATATTCAAGTTAGGGCTTGGTTTCGCACCCTTTACTCTCCCTATTTCTCGTATTAGATAATTAACATCAAATGCCTGCCTAGTACTAGCATAGATATATAATCTCGCGAGCAGAGTCTTCCTGTCTCGGTGCAGCTGATAGGGATCCATTACCACTACGTAGTAGTAAAATTGTAATGCCCAAGGAGCATGGTCTAACTCACGTGATAACGGTGGTGGTGGTGACGGTTTTCGGGGCTGGAAAAACGTTCCGCCAGCTGAGCTCAGGTCAGCTACGTAGGTTGGCTATGTTGATGTATCTGCCTCTTCCGGTATCTCATTCATAAGCAGTCTGGAAGCGCATCTGCCAACTCTCCACCACCCAGCCTTGCTTCCTATCACCTTTATACAACCGTTCTCTACCCTCGAATTCTCATCTCCCGTCGCCAGCATGGGGTCTGACCCGCAGTACATCAAGTTCCCCGATCTTACCCTCGCCCAACATGTCTTCAACCTTTCCAACCCATCGTGTCCGCAGACGGTGCGGCAAACGTCGTTGAAGAAGGTCCAGGATGCTATCTCTGAGAATAAAATGGCGCCTTTCTACAGGCATCTTGCCCACCCCGTTGAAGGCATCTTGAACCACTCTGGTGAAGGCGTTCCTCAGCACCAAGCTAGCTCAACTAAGTCCCTGATCACCTCGAATATGCTGGCATCTCGAAAGTCACCCCAAAAGATAGACTTTCCATGGGATGAATCCTTATACCAGTCCCTAGTTGAGGATAATAAGAAGGAGTTGGATGCTTTCCAAAAGGAAGAAGATGAGGCGGAAGAAGCAGCTGGTGACACCGAGGTCCTTGCGGCCCGGGGGAAGCGTGCTGAATTCTGGGCGCGCGTAGGAGATAAGGTAGGTTGCAATGCTATATTGGATGCCAATAATTGTACTTGCTGACACCATTCATGCCGGATAGGACAAAGCCATCGAATCTCATGAAGCACTCCTCGAAAAGACGACATTCCTCGGAACCAAGATTGACTTGGTGCTGGCTCTGATCCGTATTGGACTCTTCTTTGGTGACACCCTGTCTGTGAGAAAAAACATTGAACGAGCAAACACGCTTATCGAAAGCGGTGGTGACTGGGATCGGAGGAACCGTCTCAAGGCGTACAAGGGCTTACACTTGCTCACGATTCGATCCTACAGCGTCGCTGCTCCCTTACTTCTTGACAGTCTGTCTACTTTCACGAGCTACGAACTCTGCAGCTATTCCGCTTTGGTCATTTACTCTGTCCTCGCGGGTTCACTGTCATTGAAGCGAGTCGATTTTAAAGCTAAAGTTGTGGATGCACCGGAGATCAAGGCTATTCTTGGGTCCGGGGAGGATCGGGTAGCTGCTTTGACTGGGGAGGTGTCGTCTGGCCCTAGTGCAAAGGACGAAGAAATGAAGGATGCTTCTACAACTAGTGCCACTCCAGGTACCGCTACCACCGCCGTTAACTTGGCCACCTTGGGGGCTGGCTCCGGGATCCAGGCTGATATCGAAGCCCCTGTGGACTTCTCGCCTCTTGCCGACTTGGTTAGCAGTCTATATAATGGCAACTACCGGTCATTTTTCGTGGCCTTGGCAGCTGTGGAAGACAATTTCTTGACTCAAGACCGGTATTTATATGAACACCGCGCTTGGTTTGTCCGGGAGATGAGACTCCGTGCCTACCAGCAGCTTCTTCAGAGCTACCGGGTGGTAGGATTGAACAGCATGGCCAGCGATTTTGGAGTTACGGTGGACTTTTTGGACAGGTAAGCTCTAGTTGGCTGAATCAGAGCATAGTAATCATATTCACTAACAATTGTAGGGATCTGGCCAAGTTTATCGCTAGCAACCGCATCGCATGCACAATCGACCGAGTAAATGGCATTATCGAAACAAACCGCCCAGACGACAAGAACAAGCAGTACGCCGACGTCGTCAAGCATGGCGATTCTCTAATCACGAAACTTCAGAAGTATGGCCAAGCTGTGCGACTGCGCGGAAGTGAAAGGAGCTAAAGCTGTGAATGGTGACGAATCTGAGAGAATGGTCTGATTCTGGATTGTCCTGTGACCCGTGGACGTTTCAAAGGATCCCTCGGGATATGATGGTTTGAGTCATTTAATAAATATTGTCCTCATGATTACTGTTAGAGCAAAAGCAAGCGAGGCTGCTGTATCATACGTCTAATGTACGAAGACCACTCTGACCTCGAAACGGCGTAATCTGATATCATGCGATTAGGAAACCTCCACGGTATGTGGGCTGACCGGGTCTAAGCGTTGCGTACGTGGATTAGGGAAGCCTTGGCATCAAATGCGTCAGTTTCCAGGGTTTCTTTTGTCGCTCTGGAGACGGCCATTGTTTTCCAGGTCTGTTAAGTACAGAGCCAATGCGGAATAAGCTTTATGTCTACGATTGCATTTTATCATACCTGCATGTGTATCTGTAGTGAAGGGGGATCGGAAGATCAGCCCGAGAAACAGGAGGGCAAGACAAAACTAGAGGGATGAGAGAGATTCAAAATCTGGCCAGATTCCGTCCTTCCCCGGTTACGGGAACCACCGGTAGGGCCAAACGGAGTACGGAGTACCCGTGGGGTAGCATTTCAGGTACGGGGCAGCGAATCCATGCCGATAGTTTGGCTCCTATAGAGTGTACTGCGTAATTTCTCTCCCACTGTGGTTGAACCGACAAACCATATCGAGCCATACAGTTACGATTGACAATGCCAATGTTTCTCTCCACTGGGGACTTCCCATTATTGCCCTCATTCACCCCCACCATGCCCTGTACCGTTGTATTGAGTTCGTATTGGATGGATGAGTCAGCGGCTGATCGGCGCTCACCGCCTACAGAATTTCTCGCGCGATAACCAAATATCCCTGGGAATTCTTTTTTCCCCCCTGCACTGTGTGAGCCGTTGGACCCTCTCTGGCCTCTACGACGCTGGACAAGACCTTAAGTGGTATTTTTGACTAATTGCGCCTTGAGTGACCCGTGAGTCCCCACGGTGGAGAGGCAAAATTCGCGCAATTGATTGTGAACGTCTGGACAAATTGTCTCAAGAGCATCAATCATGACTTGGCAGTTAAGACTCGTGCGGGCATCTCCGCTGCGATGCTCACTTTCCCGGCCGAATGGCCCGTGGCCTATCCCGCGGGCGTCTTACAGCAGCACAAGGTTCCCCGCCGGGGCTATCAGGCCTTCTTCAGGTATGTCTTTCGGAAATCTTTCGCTTGGTCCCATGGGGCCGATCCCTTCTACACCTGTTCATTGGATGCCACATCGGTTTAGTTACTTTCCTGCCTGTATTTTTGAACTGTCACTCGCTCAAAAGCAAAGATATCCCCTCACCCCGTGACATGCATAGTCATTCCTTCCCCTCCTGGGGGTCGCCATTTAAATGTCCAATGGATGCTCCATCCGGGCGAGCGCTGGACTCTATTAAGCAAGACAACTGACTCTCTCGAAAACCCCTCAGACTCCGTGATGGCGACTCAGACTACAGTGTCCTACTCTACTACACGCACCTTGTCCACCCCGGGCCGTTGCCTGAACCCTGATAACATCAACCCCCACGTTAAGGAGGCCAAGTATGCCGTTCGTGGTGAGCTTGCCGTCAAGGCCGAGGAGTACCGTGTGAAACTGGTCAATGGAGATAAATCGTTACCATTCGACAGTGTCATCTTTGCCAACATCGGCAACCCCCAACAGCTCGACCAGAAACCCATCACCTTCTTCCGCCAAGTACTCAGTCTCCTCGAGAACCCTCAGCTGTTGAGCAACACGGAAGCACTTCGTACATCCTTTGGTTATGAACAAGATGTCGTTGACCGGGCCAAGAAGCTCCTCGCAGGTGTCCAGAGCGTTGGTGCTTACAGTCACAGCCAGGGAGCGCCCGTGATCCGCCAAAGCGTCGCCAAATTCATTGAGGAGCGTGATGGATTCCCGGCCAATCCTCAAGATTTGTTCTGCTGCGCTGGTGCCTCGTCCGGCGTCAGCACCATTCTCAATGTCATCTGCAACGGCCCCCAGGCCGGTGTCCTCGTCCCTATTCCGCAATACCCTCTTTACACTGCCACCCTTGCTCTCCTGAACGCGCAATGCGTACCCTACCTCCTCGAAGAGCAGAAGGCTTGGGGTACCGATGTGACTGCTATCCGTAATTCGTTGGCACAGGCCCGGTCTGCCGGCACTGACGTTCGTTCGATTGTGGTCATCAACCCTGGTAACCCTACTGGTGCCTCTTTGAGCGCCGATGATATCAAGAATGTTCTTGACCTTGCTGCGGAGGAGAAGCTTGTCGTTATTGCGGACGAGGTTTACCAGACGAACGTCTTCGAGGGCGAGTTCATCTCGTTCAAGAAGAGGCTTCGTCAACTGCAACAGGAGGTTCCAGGCAAGTATGACTATGTGGAGTTGGTCTCTCTGCACAGTGTGTCTAAGGGCATGGTGGGCGAGTGTGGCCAGCGTGGTGGCTACTTTGAGTTGGTTGGATTCGACCCTGAGGTTCAGGCCCAGATCTACAAGCTCGTGAGCATCGGACTTTGCCCACCAGTCATTGGACAGTGTTTGCTTGAGCTTATGGTGAACCCACCCAAAGAGGGCGAAGGCAGCCATGAGCTGTACCAGAAGGAGTACAATGGAATCCGCGAGGGACTGCACAAGCGCGCCCTTGCTTTGTACAAGGCTTTCCAACAGATGGAAGGCGTTGAGTGTCAGGAACCTCAAGTATGTTACCCACAGGACTCTATCCTATGAATATAACTAACGTGGCTGGTATCTAGGGTGCCATGTATCTCTTCCCCACCATCACCCTCCCACCCAAGGCTATTGAGGCTGCTAAGGTTGAGAATCGTGCCGCCGACGAGTTCTATTGCCTGCGTCTTCTCGACGCTACCGGTGTCTGTGTTGTCCCTGGCTCCGGCTTCGGCCAGAAGGAGAACACTCTGCACTTCCGCACAACTTTCCTGGCCCCTGGTACTGACTGGGTTGAACGGATCGTCAAGTTCCACTCCGAGTTTATGGCCAAGTATAAATAAATGAATAGAGCTAACATGTACACATATGATTTACGTGATACCTGTTGAGAATATAGAGCATTATACCTCCGCCATATTCATGGCGCTACTCACACTGAAAGAACAAAATTGAATCCACTCAGATATCTTTAAATGTTCGTTTGTCCACGTAACTATAGGCATTGTGTCTGCTCTCCTAAAGTATAGAATAACGGATGAAATTTGTGCGAATCGGAGTAGATTGCGATGGCAGTACGAGCTGTGCATGGGGTATATAAAAAATATAAACAGTGTTCAAAACAATGGAACCTAGCTTTTCTTTCTCGTTAAAACAATAAGTAACAAGGGGGCAAAAGGCCCTTTTTTGACCAAAAGAGAACACGAACAGAGGTATATAACTAATAAACAGGGCTAACAGGGAAATATGCGACAATCAACATGGGTGATAAGATTATGGCCAAAGACAAACTCCAAACCCAGTCTATCGATGCACTTTCAAGTGAATCGTTGAAATCATCATCGGGTAACTGCTTTTGGGTCTCAAGATTTGGGTTCGCGGATCTGCGCTCGTATCATTCGGTATCCCGACGGATCATCGGGATGGAATCAAAGACGTCCACTTGGTAACTTTACTTGTACCCGGATCCCTTCTGTTTCATTCCAGAAGACCATATTTTCGTTTCGAAGTTGTGTATATGCCCGACTGCAAATGGCGACGTGAATGCTGATGGATTTGAAACAACGCCGGAAGTGATATGATGACTGCTAGATGTGGATGGACAGTCAGAGGACACTGCCGTTTCGGCTGCCGAGCTCACTCTGTCCAAATCAACACTTCCATTTCTGTCCCGTGATATCGAGCTCTGTGTATCTCCTGCTGAGTTGGGTCTGGAAGTGTTGAAACCGGGGATTAGACAATGGGGGTGGCTTTGTTTCTCCCGGTACATTGAGGATACCTCGCTGTTAGTGATTGAGGCAGTGTCTGCGGTTGTGGTTGAGGCGGTATCTGTGGTGCCTGTGATAGCTGATGCATTGTCCGTGATGCCTGTGGCAATGGATGCATTATCCGTGTTACCTCTAGTTGATGCATTGTCCGTGATGCCTGTGGCGATTGAGCCATTGTCCGTGTTGCCTTTCGCTGACGCATTGTCCGTATTGGCCGCGTTTGACGCTTCTTCTGCAAATTCCTGGCCTTCGTTTATGTAGCACTTGGATATAAGATCGTTTTGGATGCAGAAGACCTTGCTCATAGACCTAATGAGAGCGAACTTGAACTTGACAGACATTTCTGGGTGTAATGAGATGGTTTCGAAGAGTAGTTGTTTCACATAGCCGAGGCAAGCATTCATATGGATGTACTCGATTGTTAATGGGTGCATCAGGACTTTTCCCGTGTGCATTTCCCTATGTCCAGAGCAGTTTAGTATGTTATTGACAAGAAAAGGCCGCTCGAAAGCAACTCACCCAACTTTGCGTAGATACTCCCAGTACGAAGGCTGGCCGGGATCTGAGCATAACCTGGTCAGATACCATTTCCAGAAAATCTTTCTCCGTTGCACTTGAGGGCTGTCGATTGTGAACAAGTCCTCAATTTGTGCTTCGGATGCAGTACTTCGAGTGCGGAGAGCACGAGCTGTGATGTCGAATTCAAGCATTTTCTCATAGAGACGATGGGTGAGCTCCGGAATGACTGTTTTGAGATATTTCGAGCCTTGGTTGAATATTATGACGTCGTCTGCGGCAATGATCAGCTGTCTGTATCTGCTGGAAAGGTAGAAAGCAGCCGCAGGCTCAAATATACCGTCTGTGAAATCCAAGAACGTCTTTATATACTCCATACGCTTTCCAAAGTCCGTGTATAACTCCTTCCGCCCGACCCTCCTAATATCTTCCTGAACAGGGGCAACTGGATCCATGTTTAAATCGATGTGAGATGTATTAATTAATTAGACTGGTTAGAAGCCGTTGTGCACTAAGGGGTTTATGCATGAAATGTATAGTATGCGTGCGTCGAGAACAGTTTATACACAATCTTAAGGGGTGTCGGTAGGGACAGTAACGGGGACATATATGTTTCTTGTATGGCCTTTCTGCTGGAGACAGAGCTAATATTTCATAGACCCATGTGATCTTTCCAAAGGATTTTAGGCCTGTAACCGGGTCTTTCCGTTCCCTGCGGAGTGGGCCAAGTGAAGCTGACCAGGGGCTAATCTGACTTTGGCTGATGGACCATTTAACTGACAGCTTATCCGACATCCATGCTTCTTATGAG